GAGGCGGTCGAAGACATGGGACTTTCTGGGAGGGGCCAGGTCGCCCGGCATCGTTTCAGCAGCGCCAGGGGGAGGGACATGCTAGAAAACGGGCCAAGGGTCAGCGCGATGAGCGAACGCCGGGGGGCTACTAGGTCGCCTTGACCCGGAGACATGGACGGGGATGGAGAGTAGGGCTCACCGGTGCGCTCGGACTGATGACCACGCTAGGGGCCGGTACTTGCCCTTGTTTCGTCGGAGTTGCTGGACCACCATTATTTACTGGCTGACCAGCGACGCCTGCGCCTTGAGGAACATGGTACTGACCTGGGGGATACACCCCCGCCTGCGCAGCATTATCCGGGGACTTCCCTCTTGTATCATTCACCGAAGTTGTCGACGAGGTCGGGGTGCCGTTCTTCGGAGATGAGGATTGCTGACCGTGGTTGACTCCGAGGGAGGCTTGGTTCTGGGACGTGTGGGAGGAATCCTTCTTCTTCGAAGATTTGTTTGCATCTTTGGCCCTCGACAACTGCTCGTGCTGGGACGGTTAGCTAGGTATAGGGAGGCCAGCGGCTGTGGTGATATTGAAGCGGGGATCGAAGTCGGGGCGGAAAAGAGGAAGGCCGGCGACGAAGTGTATCAACTTACCACTCTCTGTCTGAAACCCTTCATTGTCGCAGATATTCGAACAGCCACATGTACTCGGTGGGCGATCTCGATGCCAGTGCAGCAAGATGCCGCACACTAGCAGGAGGGGATGTAGTTGGGCAGCGTGGAGGCGGTTCAGGAGACCCGGATTGTTTATATCGGCCTGGAAATGACCACATGAGCGATTCCAACCCCAACGTAGTTCAACATAGCAATCGATTGCGATAAGGGCATTTTTTGTTATGATTGCCGAAGCAATTATGACAGCAATGAGTAGACGTCGCAGCACCAACTGACGTCGATTAATAGAAACCGTGCAGAAAGACCGGAGGGGTGGGATAATGAAGCAAAGGGAACCACTTGGGGGGAAGGAGACGGTAGGACAACGAACATAATAGATGGGAACCAGAAAGAGAGGGGGACAAACAAAGAATGGTTCTAGACGCGGAAGAGGAACAGGAAACTATTGCTGCATGACTTACCTCAGTGGGATCAAACTGGGACGAGTGGAAAGGGGAGATGTTCGGTCGCTCTCACGCTGTTTCCTTAGGCGCGAACTGAGCGGTATAGGAGCAGCTTAGGCAGTTAGTCGGTCCGCAGACGATCGAATCGCCTTTCCGTTGGCTGTCGCTTAGCGGCTGGGTGAGAAGCGGGGGTGTGGGAGAAGAATCCCCAAGTACTGAGACGCACGGCACGGTTGTCGCCTACACAATGCGGTTTAAAATAATTCTGCGCAATTTCAATAGGGCCGAGAAAAGGGCCGGTTGATATAGAAGATTGTTTAATGAGGATGAGGGACTGAAGGTCTGACGGGGGGTGTGTTGTGGCTGAGGAGGGCGAGGTGCGCTCAGACGTGTGGTGGAGGAAAGCCGTGGGACTGACTTAGTCCCATACATAGTACGACCAACTTCCTACGGTAAACTCCAGTAAAGGGGAACATACCAGTACTACAAGTATCCGTCGACTTGGCGGTGATATGGTTTAAACCTAGTATATACAACAGAATTTCTTCCAGATCTCTAGGGACTGATTCTGTATATTCTCTAGGTGGAAGACAGAATTTCTTCCATCTTTCCTCATATTTTACCCTGGTGTCCACATCGGTTGTATATTATGAACTGTTTCACATTTATGCTTATTATTTCCACTACCGGTTACTATTATAGGTACGGGCACCAGCTGTGCCTGGGACAGGTACATACATAAGGCAAGGGACGGGTACTGGAAATTGGCAAAAATATAAAACAACAGTACATCGGCTACCCACATGATCATATGGGTTTTTTCCCTTGGTTGTCTTTATTTTAAGACATTCCCGTAGTATTAATATGCCTCATACATTTGTATAAATGTTGTTCTTTGCTCTGTCTCCATTTTTGCAATTGGTACTCGAAAGACTACCCCCGTAAGTTCCACCAAAAAAAAAGTGCGGTGGTCATGTGACCACGACCGCCGATTATTCATCCTCATAGAAAGAAGCAAGTTCAAATCAATCAACGTAACTACATGTACATACAAAAGAAGTTTCAGTACGTCCTCTGGAGTTCACCAGAAATGATATAACTTGAAGAATTGGCCTCAGCTCACATATGAAGCCATTCGACGCGCTTCCTTAAAACAACGTCTTACGTTGTGACGTCAACGGCAATCTAGCCTGGTACTGGCATCCAAATATACATCTACATTTTGACTACATCCAACAACCACTCAATATCAATAACCTCTCATAGCCTCAACCCAACCCAATCCAACCAGGGCTAGCAGATCACTACATCACGATCCTCAATATGTCTGAACAACAGGGGTCCAGGACAGCCCCATTCTATCCCATCCCGCCTCGCCGCATCGTCAGTGTCGAGCACCCGGCGATTATCAAGAATGTCGATAAAGCCATCGACACACTCCAGGGTAATACAGGGATCTCCAAGGTATTTATATCCCTATCCACAGGGCCCTGACATTAAGTCCCACCCCAAGACGGTTTATCCCAGGGTATTATGCTCACAACTGCCAGATACTAAACCCTCCAAAAGCCGATACTCCGGCGTATCTCTACCTCCGACCGGAGGATGCAATGTCGAGACCTATTCAATCAACCAGCTTGCCATCCAACAACATCCTCCTGAAGGTGACCGTGCCCAGACGCACCGGTCGTAAGCGTAAGCGAGGATCAGATGAGCCGTTCACCGGTGTCCCTGTCTCGACGCTTGGCCCTGAGTTTCAGCCACGGCGCAGCGCAAGGGAGCTACTGCGGAGTTTGCGCGATAATGTTGGCAAATATCAGATTGAGCCGGTCGGTCTTGTGAACCGGACGCATGTGTTTCGAGGTCTGTTCTAACTTTCTCACTTTCTGCTCTGTGCGGCTTGCGAGCAAAATGACACTAATGAGGCTTTATAGGGATGCCGGACTTTGTCTTCTCGAGTACTGGTAGCTCCTTCGCTAATCGGTTTCGGGAGCATATCCTGCCTTTTGACTGTTTGTTTTATCCTATAGTCGGCCTAGCAGGGCGAAAACTAATGGTATCGCAGATGAAAAGATGAAGCAATTCAACCTAGACATGGCCAAAGGCATGTCATCAACGTCGACATCATCCCACCACCATCTTTCAGCCAGGGAGATATCCCCTTCACCTACGCGTAAGTCACCACGACACCAATGAACCCAACCCACACCCATGCTAACCCTTCAAAACAGGTACCGGCAAAACCAAGCAGTCCGCCAATCGATCGACTCATCAGGCAACATAACAACAGTCAACACACAAAAGCCCACAAAGGTCCTAACACACTTGGTCTCCTACGACGTCGCGGAAGTACCCAGCAAACCGAACGAAAACACCCCACCCCTAGAAACGCAAGACGCCACCCTCCGAGAAACAGTAGCCATCATCCGAGACCTCTTCGAGAAACGCCCAGCCTGGACCCGTCGCGGACTCCGCAACAACCTCCGCACAATCGAACAGCGATATGCCCTCCGGCTCGCAATCCCCTACGTAGGCTACATCATGCGGTCCGGACCGTGGCGCGACGCCATCATCAAATTCGGGCACGACCCACGCACATCCCCAGACTACCGCCGCTACCAAACAGTCATGTTCCGGATCCTGCCCCGGGAAGCGGACGTGGCGCGCGACGGCTACGCAGGACGTCGTCACGCCGTGCCCCGACTCAACGAACCAGCCGCGGCGGATCCGTCTACCGATCTGAAATCAGATACGCACATCTTCACAGGCCAGCTGCCGCTGCCGCTCGACGGCCGGATGTGGATGTTCTGCGATATCACCGACCTCTGCTGAGGAGTATCGTGTTCCCAGCGGAGGAGGCGCCTGGGTTTATCCGCGAGACATGCGACACAGTCAGCGATGGGTGGTATGGAGGTGGGACGCTCGCGAAACTGAAACTGATCATGCGTCATAAGATCCTTGGGCTCATTGAGGAGCGGATCCCCGAGGACCAGGACTTTGCGCGGATTCTGAGTTTCCCGGATTACGCGACGCCGGAGAACGTGAATACGGCGTTTACGCTGGATGCTAGCGTTGTGTCGAACAGGGAGTTGACGATGGCGACGGAGATTAGGGCGATGATTAAGGGGACGCCATCATGGAGGGAGGCGAATCAGGGACAACAGGAGCAGGATACGACAACGAAGCGTGGGAAGGGTGCTGCGGGTCGTCGAGTACAGTGGCGGGATACGCGCGCGAGGATGAGAGTGAGGGTGAAGAGGAGGCTATTGAGAAGCAAGAGATTTTAGATGCTATAGATGAGGTTATCGAAGCCGCTACTACAACAGGTGGAGATGACGACGGAAATGACAATCTTGAAGAATCGGACGGGGGAGAGGACATCGAGGAATCGAGACCTCGGCGCAAGTCAGGAAGTCGGCGGTGATGGCATTTGAAAGATTTATGTTGACTTTTGTTATCAAGATACGTATTTATACTAATCGCATTGTTCAGCCGGATGTATGTACATCATAAGACATCAGAAACGTGGCACGTTCTCACTCATAAGCACAAGCATAGCATCGTTCAACAGAATGATAGATATCAAGCCAAATAAATCCAATGAGGTAAGGAATCTTATATTATTCAGGACATTGTAGGAAGGACGGCATTTGCACTCTTGAGTGCGTAGTTATTCAAGTAGCAACAAAGGAGAACTGGAACAAGTCACAGCCGGCTGGTCATCAAGACCTGAGATAATAATATGGACAAAAAAAAGGAAAGTAATCCAAAAGGGTATCGAATAAAACAATGCAAAGAAAATCCAAGTGCTAAAGCCTCAACTCCAAGTTTCACTGAATGCCGTACCAAAAAGAATGATCAATGGAATTATAATCACAAAGCCGACTGAATCGGCTTCTTTGTGCCTTAGGTAGACTCATCCACAGCGCTTCCACTCTCCCAGACTTCAACCTCCGCCTCTGATGGTCCGGACTTGGCGTCCCTGACCTGCTTCTCAGGCGTGGTCGCTTCAAGTAATGATGAAATCGATGAGACACTGGAAAGTTTGCTGCGGCTGTGAGGGCAGGATCGAGGCAAAGTGGGAAGAAGCGCTTTTTTGGCGGGCGTGGCATCGGTTTCCTCGTCGTCATAGACGACGGCATAAGAGAAAGTGTGGCAGTCTTCGCCATAGTAGTCAGCGGCAATCAGGTCGCCGAGGGGAGCACGAGATTCTTCCATCATGACGGATTTGCGGGCGGCAGCAGCGGGGGATTCCCGTTGACGAGAGCGAGGAAGGTCGATTCCGAGTTCGGCAGGAGGGATATTCTCCTTGCCTCGGGTGGCCGATTCCCCCTTGCCTTCGTCATCACTGATATCTAGCACACAGGTTGAGTGTTGCATGAGGTTGGTCATCTCCTCTTGCTCTGAATCTACATAAATGTCGAAAGACCAGCCAGAGGGAGCCTTGGAGGTCGGTTGACTCGTTGGCTTGCCACTTGCCAGTGCTGCAGCAAGGGAAAAAGGACGATGGACACTCTTTTTGCTTGCAGGCTCAGGACGGCTCTTCGCAATGGTCGAGCGACGAGCGAATGGCTTGCACGGTTTGGCCTGTGGGGAGCGTCCCGCCGGTTTAAGGGCGGGAGCGGATTTGGGGGTAGACAGGGATGCCTTGGGGGGCGTGGTTGGGATGTGAGGAGCCGCATTGGACTTCACGGTTGTCAACGTGATCCGCGAGGACTTCAAGGGCTTGCTAGTATTCTTGACAGGCTCATGCTCGTCCTCATCCGCGCCACGCTTGCGTTTTGTCGAGGACTTCAAGGTTGTGGGGTCGATGTTCTCGGTGTCCACCTCCGAGAGGGGTTGCCTCTTGCCAGACAGAATCGTGCCTGGTGATCAGGTTAGTACGTATTGGTACATAGCTATAATCCAAGAAACATACCATTTTGTTGGTTTTTAAGGTTCATCTTTGCCTTGAGCAAGGGTCGCATGCGCGGTGTATCCAAGCTCGCAAAGGGCTGGCGCACGGTCGTGGGAGACATTGTGAGAGCGGCCATGTTATTCGACGCGAGTGATGGGAGAACTGAGACAATTGCAATGCAGAGCAATAGGGCTGGAGTAATAAAGGGAGTCAACCAGGCAGCAAGCGAAGACTGCCGTGGAGCTGAGTGTATGATGAGGCTGCGCGGGTGTGGATTTGTTTTGGTCGCGTCGAGGAAGTGGGGGTGACGGGCGGTCTAGTACGGTACGGTAGTACTACCGCGATCAACACAACCCAACGGTTCAACTGGAACCGATCGCGAAAGATCCAAAGATGAGGTATACAATCTCTAGGGATTGGACAGGGCCACGGGTCTCTCGAGTAGTCGTGTCGAGCTTTTCGCAAAACACAACAAACACGTTCAAGATGGATATATTACACAACAACAACAACACGACGAGGGGGATGCGATGAACGGATGAAAAGAAACGGTCACAACAGTGGCAGTCGAGACAAGATATAAAGCTATGGCAGTAAGGGCTGCAGGAGAAGTGGAGGGGAATGGCTAAGAATGGAGGGCAGGATATTGGAATGAGAATGACAATTGAGGAGCGCGAAACATGCAGATGCGTGGTTTCAGAGTATGTACGGCTCGAAGAGGAATGAATATTGAATCATCGTTATCTCTCCCACGAAGTATAATTATAGTTCGCATTCTAATAGTCATGTAAGTTTAAGTACAGAGTAGGATCTCGTGAAGACAGGGAGGGGCGAAAACGCGTGAAGACGTGTCGCAGCCATCAGCTTGATTATGTCTCGATTTGGCAGTCAGGCTGCAAGGCGCGTATGGATTGGCTCACGAGGCACAATTCAATGCTCATCCCCTCACTTCAGTTCACCCCACCAGAGCTTCTACGTAAGTAGTACTGCTTATGTATAGAACCTAGACCCTCTGAACCTCGTTCCGTCGGCCGGGTACGCGGCTTTCCATCCATTCTGTCGTACATACCAGGTACACGGTCAAGGTTAGGTAGAACCATCCACTCCCCTGAGTTCTCTCTCTGTTGAGAAGAATGATGACGAGTATAAAAACTCATGAAATCAACGATATCCTGTTGATTTTCAGTACGATTGTGTCATTGACTCCCAATTGGCAGAGTTATTGGCACACTAGTCAGTGGTACACGATGTAGATCGACGATGGTAGATAATCATGTAACCTTACCGATCTAATCAGCAATGCGGTAATTTTCACTTCCCCACCCAATACACGCTAACCTTTCGTGTTGCACTGCACCTTCAAGGCACGGGGGTAATCTACAACATGTCTACAATGTACCTCCTAACTACTTCTAACTTAAATCAAGAAGAGTAAATAGAAAGAAAGACTATGCAGATAACTGAATAGCTAGGGGATTATAGGTATAACCGCCAACATATATGAGTACACAAGGCTTGAGCCAGCCATAGCAGTATAACTGTACTCCCTATATAACCGTAGATCCACTGGCTGGAATATTTAGCGTTCAATAATACTGTATACCAGCGTTAGTAGCCTGGTGAAAAAACCTTGAGATGTCATCACCCGAGGTATAAATATCGGATCGTGATGGGAATTGCAAGATTGGTAATTCAAAAAGCATGAGCTTATCTCGATACCAGCCCTAATACAATACCGACGGTACACGAAGTACGTACTATACGGAATCCATCATGGCACCATCCCTGCAACGCGTCTGCATCACGACCCTGAAACTTAAAGGCCTCGATTCAAGCTCACCATGCAACTTGACCAAGTCTTGTGTCTTGTCGCGTACTATCATATTCTCATAGTCCCCCAGCATCGAACACGTATTCCAACCCTGTTTCAAGAACGACGCCACCCAATTCCCTCATGCGCGTCCCGACGGCGGTTACAAGGAAACCATGTTATACAGAGTACGAACCGAAGAAGCAAGTAACTTTAATTAACTTAACCGTAGCGCCCATTCTATAAGTAGAAATCGATCGGCCGGCTCTAATTCCAATTTAAGGTTTCTTGGGACTCTGCGCGCTTTGCTCAGCCTGTGTATCGCTGTCACTGTTGCTACCTTGAAACACCGCGAGGGTTCGCGCAGTGTGTCTTTCCATGGTGACCAGGACCTTGGAACTTCGAGACTGCGATATGTATGCGACTTACGCGCCGAGATTAATCGATGGCGCACGATGTTAGGGTTCTGGGCTGGCATTGCGGGAATGAAATGCCAACCGCCTGTCAGACGTGAGGTACAGTCTGCGGAGGCTATCCCGTGCACATTCCATACTTCACGCTTAACTCGCAGCCCTCGAGGCTTTTAAGACATATTTGACGCCATGGTCGTCAACGGGGAAGGCGCTTTATTGTCTATTTTAATTCCGACAATGCTCCATTCCAACTTTTTTCCCTTTTACCGTTTCCTGCATACTGGTCCTCCCAATACGAGTGGACAATCGCACCGACTAAGCTCGTCGATGATAAATCCCTTGGATGTTCTGCAGTAATGTACATTTCATTTTCTCTTCGCTTTCGTTCCTGATTAGATCTCGTCCTCCCACGGAATGCTGTCCATGGCTCCTTGTCGCTCCACGCAGCGTGCGGAGGCCTGTGTCGCCCATCCCATGGCGTCATCCATGACCTTCTGATATCGAACAGGCTTCTCCTCGCTTGTTAAGTCTTGTCCGGCCTTGCCGTCCGCACGTCGTTGTTCGCGCCACCGTGCCACCGCGACCGCGTATGCGCCGACAAAGGTATCTCCCGCCGCAGTGGTATCCAGCACCCGGCTGACCTTAGCAGCGGGAATCTGATTGGTAAAGCGGTAGACTCCGTCCGCAGGCCCGGATGTCCCGCCATCAGTAGCACTATACCAGAGACCCTTAGATCCCAACGTGATTAGGACGTACGTCACGCCCAGCTGATGGAAATACCGAGCCACCTTGTCGTCACCGCTCAGTCCCTCCGCATCGGGAACCACCTTGAGCAACTGCTCCGCCGGTGGAGTCATCAATTCGGCCTCCGTCTCGTTCACGATAAAGTGGTCCACCGCCGCGTACACGTCCTCCGGCAATCCTCCCGGTGGAGCAGGCGCAGGGTTAAACATGACATCAGGGCCGGCCTCAATACCTCGCTTACCCTCTGCTCTGTTCTTAGCTTTCCAAGCCCCAATGTCTCGGAGTATCCCGATGACACTCTCAACAGGAATCTCTCCCTGCATCACAATCACATCCGGTACAGGGGCTGCCATTGCCATTCCCAGCACTGACGGCTCAGGCTGCATCCCTTGATAATTCGCTCCAGGCGAGAACAGAATGCGGTTTTCCCCGCCAGCCGACGAGTCCACAATGATCACCGCTACTCCCGTATATGCATCACTGACGATCTTGACTCGCGACGTATCGACACCGGATTTCTCGAGAGTGGGCTTGAGTAATGCATCGAAGTGGCCGTCCAATCCACCGACGGCACCAACCATCTCCACTTTCACGGAACCCTTGCCCGAAGACGTAGACGAGGCTGATCGTGCACGAGACAGCCGCCCGCAGGCAACCGCCTGGTTCGCGCCCTTGCCTCCAGCGCTAATAAAGTATGATGAGGAGGTGATCGTCTCACCAGCTTCAGGAAAGCGAGGTGTCACCGACACCATGTCGGCGTGAGAGAGCCGACGACGCGAATTGTAGGGACCATGATGGCTGAATCGGGCGATTTGTGACGTCGCGTAGAGGTCGGAGGGTTTGGGGAAATCGCGGGGTGCGGGGAATTGTCCGTAGGATGTCGTACTCTGTTGCAGCAAGCTGGTTCCGCCTCGCTTGCTTGTTAAGAATTACTGCGTTCTGTAGGTCGTTAAAGAAATGGCGTAGATTTTATTGATCTCGACGTTGTATTGTAGTGTGAGCGTGGTATGGAAAGAGTTGACGTCGGGGCCGCGGGGTTCGGTGGGGAGGTCTTCCGACTGCAACCGTCCATTGCCCTTAGTGATGCTGTGATGGCAATTCCTTAGCTGATGACTTAGGAGCGGCAATGCTTGGGTATTTTCCAGCAACTATTGGACAACCCATGAGTATGACTAGGATGAACAGAATTGACCATAATAGTATGTCTGTGAGTCTTGTACAGCCTATACATCCCAGCTCCAACGATATATGAAGACTACCAGTCTACTCCACATAGACCATCATAGGCCTGTCTATCTATTATAGGACAGTCATACTAATTCTTTATCCTGGAAGGCGATACAAGCAAAGAGGATCACAAATTCTCTCGAACTGCAGACAATTAAAATCGAAATAGCACCAATTTGCAATTCCCCTGCCGTGAGGTTAGACTTGCCCGTAGGCTGGACTTGCCCTCCGCTTGCAGTTGCCATACGCAAGTGGCTACACTGCACTATGGAAATGAACTCGAGGGCCCCCAATTAGGACCCTCCTCAGACACTCCCTGATTGAAACCAATCCACGACCCAATTCCAAGTAAACTCACCTCGAGCCATGGCCCAAGCTTCATTTAACTCCGTTATCTCCACTCTGCATCATCAACTGGAGCATTTAATAATACAGCGGTGCCGAATGCCGGCCCAGATGAAGACTTAGGTTTAACCTCACCTCCCACGCCCGAACATAGAATTGTCTGTCCAGAAAACAAAACCTAAGATATTGATAATATACAATGCCATATGAAGGTCACTGCATATGCGGACGTATCCGCGTGCTGCTGGAACAGCAACCTCCAAGCTCACTCGTTTGCCACTGGTATGTCCTATTTACCTATATTTAGTCAAGTCCATATACTGATTCAACCACAGTCGTAATTGCAGTAGATCGGGAGGTGGTCAGTCCTCTACTACCCAAAGCATCAGTTTAAACCACTAATATGAATAACACGCCAGGCTCCTCTATAAACTACGTCCTCCACAAGGAGGAAATCGCAATCCAAGACCCCCAGTCCAGTCTAAAAGTGTACGTAGATACGAACACAGTTAGTGGAAATCACATCCAGGTGCGACTGTCTCTTCAACCCTCTCTTCTTACCTCTATGAACTTATTTAGATCATGACACTAACATACAGATACTGATACGTCGTAGCGCAAATTCTGCTCAAACTGCGGCAGGTTGGTCTCCCATCTTCTTTGTTTGCTGGAAGCACAGTTGGCTGAGCACAAGCATAGTCCGATTATAACAGAGACGCCCAGCTTTCCGGGGAAGGCTATTGTGAAGGCTTCTTTGTTTGATGTCATCTCTCGGCCTGATGAGGAGGTGTTCACAGATCGACGACAGGCATGGGAGGAACCCGTTGAGGGGGCAAAGCAGGAATAGCGTCTTGTTAAGTTAGCGCGGTGGTGTTAGGTGTAGTGCTGGGGTTGATTGATGTTTTTGGGATGAAAAGTGAGGTTCTAGAATATGAATATCACAGAATACAGATATACTGTTGCAAGGTAGATCTTTAATCCAGTGATCAGCTATCTCGGCTTCTTGGTCTAAATCAATGATATGCTATATAATATATTGACTTTAGAGTCTCTTGGTTTAGATATGTAATGATGACCGTGATTTCAGGCAACCCCTGACTCAAACCCTACGTATATATCCTAAGGTCATGGGAGCCGCCCGATCTCTCACTGTCATTCACTCACCAGCCAAACAACCAGCCTCACAGAAAACCTCTCAGCCAGTGAATGAAAGACTGTAACAGAATATTTCCAGCACAAACACCATGTGCGGAATACTCTCCCTCCCATATAGAGAATCCGCAACAGGAGTTCTACAGAACAGCCAGCTCACGATACACTGTTCAGGCATTCGCAAAAAGCACAAAAACCCAGCCACAGCCAAGATGCTGTCCCTGGAGCTTCTGAAAGCTTTCCTCCGCGAGTATATCGTCGACCACTCAGTCGCAGTCTCTGATAACCACCACCGCGAACAAGAACAGACTCTCACATCCAACCCCTCAGAGCATGCTACCAGCACTGTCACAACCACTGAATATGAACCATCTAAATCAGCTGTGAACAAAAGAAAAACACCCCCAACAACCACTCCCTTGACGGCCGCGCAGCAAAAGAGCCTGAAACAGGAACTCCGACTCCAATCCAAACGCCGCAAAGTCGCCAACCACAAAGTCTACCACCACCAGCTCGAGGATGGCTTTTACGGCGACCTCATCGCCCTGCATTACGAAGACGCAATCGCAACTGCACAGCATGCACACACCCTCCCCCTAACCGAGGGCAAGTATCACTTCCACAATTTCTGGGTCGACGCAAGCGGGTGCCAAGGCTCCGCCGGCGCGGCGATTGCATACAAGGACCCCCAGGACGGTGAGGAGTGGAGGGACTTGGGGTATGCGATCTCAGACCTTAAGGGTGAGAAGCGGGTGGACATGTCAGAGCTGTTTGCCATTGGGGCGGCGTTGAAACTTGCACTGGCACGGATCGGGAAAAGGGTCGCTGTTGCGGAGGGTGTGGAGGAGCATGCGGTTACGGTGTTTTCGGATTCAATGTCTGCGTTGGGAATGATTCGGCGGTGGGCGAACTGGTGGTCCCAGGGTGAGGTTGATAGGTCTGCGTTTGGGGCGATCGCGAAGGATGTTTGTGGGCTTTCGAGGCAGCTGTTTGATCTGGGGGTTAAGGTGAGGGTTTATTGGGTGCCGGCGCATTGTGGAGTTTGTATTGCTGGGCATAAGCGGGCTGATGTGCTGTCTAAGGCGGCGGCAAGATATGTTAAATTGCTCGAACAGCGGGATGCGATGTTTAGTGCTGATGGAGTTCAGTTGGTTGATTCGGGGTTCTTGAAGACTCTTCATCTGCTTGCTGATGAGTGCGATCTTGTGTGACAGGGACAACTCTGGAGTGAGTGCGTTTGCTACACTACCACTTCTGTTACGGGGCGTTGATGGATATCGTGGCGTGAGTTACTGGGAACGGATGGAATTATGATAAGTTGGCTTCATTTCCGACCTGTGGATCTGTGTATCTTAAAATAAATGCAACGCCGTACACCGTGTTCGACCGCTGTGCCCGAGTCCAGTTTCTATTAAGACATGATATCAGGTAATGCATGCTCCCTCGTAGTCAAAAAACATTATTGTCCATAGCCCATACGCACTCCATTGCGAGCATCAGTCATCAAATTAACAAAGATGAAAGAGAACTATACTCCGTGACGGTACACCTGGGATCCGCCAGAGCGAATACGAACAGTATCTCTGCGCTGCAAGACCATCAAGGCCCGGTTGAGAGCCTGTTCCGTGTATCCTCGTCCGTCAACGAACTCGCGGCGGAGAGTGGCGAGACTGGTGCTCCAGCCGATGGGAAGTCTGCGCTTCAGTTCGTCTTCGATCTTGCTGACCTCTTCCATCATCTCCTTGCTGCCCTGGCCCTCGCCCTGAGTGATTGCGTCCATGGTTGAGGCCAGGAAGAGACGGATGGCCTCGTCGACGTGTGCCTCCGTAGCAATCGGCGACAAGCTGAGCTTGGCAAGGGACTCGGTGATACGGACGATGGCCTCCAGTTGACGGACTGTGATAGGGATAGAAGAACGTGCGTTGGCGTCGAGCTCTGCGCGGTGAACCTGTTTTCTAATAGAGACGAAATGAGACGAGAGTTTCTCTGCGGCTTCAGGGGATAGGCGAGGGGCGCAACGACTGTAAGCGATATGTTAGTGATGCTCTAAAAATTTTAAGTAGTGAGATGGCCGGAACTCACGTGCGGCAATAGCTGATATAACGCTTCATCTTGTCCAGCGGAATCTCGGCCTCAACTTGCTCTTCAACACCTCGGCCACCCATGTGTACGCCCATGACGTGACGTGCGATGCTTTCGTCACGGTTGCGGTCGTGGTCATCACGGACAATAAAAATCATATCGAAACGAGACAGAATGGTTGTTTGGAAATCAATGTTCTCGCCAGGAGTTTTCAGGTCATCGTACCGACCGAAGATAGGGTTTGCGGCGGCCAAAACTGAGGTTCTGGAATTGAGGATGGTGGTAATACCGGCTTTGGCAATCGAAATGGTCTGCTGTTCCATAGCTTCGTGGATGGCGACACGGTCTTCATCTCTCATCTTGTCGAATTCATCAATACACACAACACCACCGTCCGCAAGAACCATTGCACCACCTTCGAGATAGACTCGCGGGTCGCTTGGTCTCGCTGTACTGACGCTGTCAGACCAGCTGCAGATGAACCTTTACCGGAAGTATAGATGGCGATCGGTGACACCTTCTCTGTGAATTTAAGCAGCTGAGACTTGGCTGTACCGGGATCACCAAGAAGCATCACGTTGATATCTCCACGCAGTTTCATGCCGTCGGGAAGAATCTTCTTCGAACCACCCATGAGCAGGCAGACAATAGCCTTTTTGATATCAAAGTTGCCATAGATCGAGGGAGCAATGCTCCTGGCGAGGGCATCATATAGATCAGGTCGACGGCTGAGCTCTAGGAATTCCTGCTCCTCCTCTTCCGAGAAAATGGCACTACCCTTGACGGTTTGGTCCAGATCAGTGCTGATGCCTACCGCCCTCATATAAGGGTTACGAATGGCAGGGGCACCATCCTTCTTGGCGCCTTTGGATTGATAGATGGAGAAGATACCCATGACTGTGCAGCGGGAACCAGGCACAACGCGATTTGCCAGATAGCGGTCTGCTGAAACGAGAACATGTCTGGGCAGCTCACCCACTGGGACCTGGTCGGGCGCTTCCTGGAGCTTGAGAACTTGCTGATCGACGAATTGACATTTCTCGTGAGAAACGACGTAAGGATCTAGAGGGCACTGTTCACCAGGGGCATCGCCAGGTTGCTGCTGGCGGCCGCATCTCCGGGGCAACGAGAGACCGGAGAATCCGCCTTCGACTCGAATGTTTTCGCTATGGTCGCAGTTCTTGCAGCGGATGTGAACAACTGTTGCTTTCGATGAGATCGTCGAAGCACCGATCACAATACCAGGAATGCGGACAAGATGGGAGATATTTGTCGCATTAAGATCACGGATGGAGATATGTGCTGCAGACGAGTGAAGTAGGAGCTGATGGGATGGAAGCACTATGTCCCTTTGAGAGGGGTAAACGATTCTCTGGGTGCATTGCTGGAGAGCGTTCTCGAACTGAATATAGGAGTGGTGGTTAGAACCAGCCTGATCGATGCCCAATAGTTGGATTACTCACAAGGGGGATGATGTCTGCAGGTTCAGTGGTGAGCTTGTACGCCAGCTCTTCATTATAAGAGACCAAGTGGGCAATATCAATGTCACAGTAGTATTGCTTCACGAGCACATTTTGCCGAAGTTGGTCTCTGTATATTAAGTCAATTTCGCAACAGACTTGTCGGTTGTCATGGCGGCATACCGATAAATAAACGCATTATCCAACTGGAATTCCAAAACAAAATCTCGTAGCCTCTGCTGAATTTGTGTGCGGGACTCTTCTGCACCATCTGTGCTAGCAGCAAGAACACTCAGACTATAAGGTGTACGCCTGTCCATGATGAAGACAGCAATTGGGGAGGGGTGGGTTGAGGGCGAGCGAGGGGGCAATGTGTGGATTGTTGACTATTACCACCGAAGGAGGAGCAAATAACTTTTGCATGGACACGCATGGTGCGCGTCGCGTCTGCTACACGCGTTAAGTGGTTTTGGCCTTAGGCATACAGATAGTGGGCGCTTCGCCCCCAGAAGTGCGGAAAAATAGTAGCCCCGTTTCCTCCAAACTGGGACTAGACCCCCTCTTGGGGGCCTGGAGCCTTACTCGATTGGGCCGGCTGTCATGCTGAGGTCCCGAAAGCACGCTTCCTAAGGTTGGATGACTTATGCTTTGTGCTTGCGCATTTGGTGACGTTGCACGTTAAGCGACTCCTGTTAGAAGTCTCGCTCGGGTATCAAAATCGTGACAGCGGGAATTCATTGGAGGAACGCTTGCTCCTGGTCCCACCTGGACTATTCTACAGTTGTCCTCTTGTCATGTTGAGATAACGACGTCTAGCATAGTACGGTGGCCGTCGGAGTCGCCAACAACTTGGCATCACGAGATGTCCTCTGCGAGCCCGCGGAAGTCGATCGACAGCTTAGCTTCAGGTGCATCCACACCTTCGCTATCTCAGTATTCACTCAATCAGCTCGAATCCCCCCGCGTTCCGCCCCAGAGATACCCCCTGAGACGAGGGTCAACTGCAAGCTCAATCGTGAGCATTGGAGGGATTCTCGACTCCTCAAATCGGCATGGATCAATAGCAGAGTCAGGGCAGAATGGTACGTTATGACCCGTTACGTCAATTGCTGGCACGCTAATTCACCCAGCCATCTCTACCCTCCTTCAACCTCCGATTGTCCGCACCGGTCTTGTACCCCATACCGCTGTACCGTCTAGTGGATATAAGCCGCCAAGCTCCCGCGACATCCCTCCGGTTACCCTGACAAATATCCCGCGTGTGGATGCCAACGTATTTGACCCGTACCTATCGCAGGTTGGGTCCTTGTACGACGTGTTCCAACAGGCAAAAGAAAGTGCTGGTGATCAGGAATCGCAGCTGGCACGGGACGGAGGGAAGGCCTCGCCTAAGCCAGATGATAATGAGTTCTTGTCGTCACAATGGTCTGCGGAGCGGCGGCCCTCAACCCTATCGGTCAATTCCCGTGCGAGCTCGCCTTTCGATACTCGCGGGCGGAGACGGTCGTCTGGTCGGGGTCGAGGACATGCAGTGACGCCTCTTTCTACTATCCCTCAGGTATATTTTGATGACGACTTTCATCTCGAGAACCCGCGGACATTCGATGTGGTATCAGAGAAGTCTGAAGTTGTTACCCCGCCGAAGACACCGGGCAAGGACGGTAGATTTGAAAACGGAGCCGTTGTCGGACCATCACCAACGGGAAGAAAGGCACTTGCTACAAATGCCATATTGCAAGAAAAGCTTTCCTGGTATATGGATACGGTGGAAATCCATCTGATTTCATCAATCTCAACGGCATCCAAGTCATTCTTCACTGCACTCGGCTCACTCCGTGAGCTGCATTCGGAGGCTGCTGATTCTGTAAAGCGGATTCAAGTGCTGCGGAAAGACCTCCAGAAGATTGACCGTGAAATGGCCCTAGGTGGCTTGAAGATCGTTAATCTACGGCGTCGGAGGGAAAATGTCCGGTTGCTAGCAGATGCTATATCCCAACTGCGAGAAGTAGTCCAGTCAGTTTCTCGGTGTGAGGAACTGGTTGAAAATGGAGATATTGAAGAGGCTGCGGATAGCTTGAAGAGGTGGAGAGATTGATGGCCGGAGAAACTGTGTCTGGTAGCCCGGCGGGCGTAGATCCGCAGGAGCATCCGAGAAAAGCTATCGATTTGAGGAGGCTCAAAGCCCTTGAAGGTGCGTCAGACGACTTATCCCAGTTAAGGACTGGAATTGGCATGGGATATGAGTCCCGCTTTTTGAATGATCTTCTTGGAGACTTGAGACAACATGTGGAAAATGTACCCTTGGAAGTGACGCTTCAGCGCTGGGGCTCTTCATTTCAGCGACAGCGTGGAGTGCAACGCTCAGGCGTTACTGTTTCCCCGGCGTATATGACCTTCGATGACCAGCTGAGATCGAGACTGCACACGCAACTGACAGGCCTTGCACGGGCACACCATACAACCGCAGCAGCGACTTCCTTCAAGACGGCAGTGTTACGAGAGATGAAGAGTTTGATTCGCAAACACATGCCTAGCTCGAGCGATGATGATAATGAGTCAATGGTGTCCGTGTCCACTCATCGATCCTCGCAGCTCAGTCAGCAAGAGAAGTCATCGATTCTTGCTCGGAACCTGCGTGCTTTAGACGCAGAAGATGCGTACGCAATGCTCGCCCGCGTATATACCGGCATCAGTGAGTCCTTACGGAGGCTTAGTGTCCAGGTCAAGGTCCTTCTTGATCTTGCTAGTGGATTAGGGAATAGCTCTGTTCTGAAATCTCCAAGGAGTCCCCGTTCACCTAACATGGATAATGCAGCCCTGTTAGCGGCAAGCTCGCAACCAGCGGCAACAATGATGGCTCAAGACGAAATTTTACAAGTTCTAGACATGTCTAGTCTCCTCGGTCAGGCGGTTGATATTGCCCAGTCGCAGGTGAACAAAGTCCTGAAAGTTCGGTCCGAGCAGACCTCTCATTTGCCCAAGGAGGAATTCTTGAAATATTTTACCCTCAACCGACTCTTTGCGGATGAGTGCGAAGCAATTTCGGGTAGAAGTGGCACTGCTCTGAAAACTCTTGTAGGCAATCAGATCCGTGATTACATCGCCAGATTTGGCGATAAACAGCGACATCGTGTTGTTGAAGTCATGGACGCGGACCGATGGGATGCAAGGGACTTCGGGGAGACAGAAAATACGATTCTGAGCCGGATTCTCGATGCTAGTACTAAGGACATCGAGGCTTGGGTGGATGCCTCGAAGATTTGGCTGCCTCAAGATAAAGCTGAAGGTATTACGTCGGAAAGTACGACCAACGGAGCCGGAAAAGACAAGGTGCGGTCGGCGGTGATTGATGAGCAGAAGTACATTCTCTCGCAGTCCGCGGTGGCCATGATGAGGAGCATAGAAGAATTCCAGTACCTTATGGCCAACATCCCCAGCATGATCCAGGATATTGCACCGGGTCTTTTGGAGTCGCTGAAGTTATTCAATTCTCGCTCCTCTCAACTGATCCTTGGTGCCGGAGCCACACGTAGCGCCGGTCTGAAAAACATCACTACGAAGCATCTCGCGTTGTCCTCGCAGGCTTTGAGCTTCATCATCGCGCTAGTACCTTACATCCGGGAATTTGTCCGGCGCCACTCACCTTCTAGTCCATTGATGGGCGAGTTCGACAAGGTGAAGAGGCTGTACCAGGAGCACCAATCCGGTATCCACGAGAAGTTGGTTGACATCATGAGCGGGCGGTCTTCTGTGCACGTAAATGCCATGAAGAAGGTCGATTGGGATGCCTCAGGATCTAGTACGGTTAATCCGTACATGGAGACCCTTGCAAAGGAGACCGGCACACTGCATCGCGTTCTGAGCAAACATCTACCAGATATGACCGTGTCAATGATCATGGATCCCGTGTTCAACAGCTATCGGGAACAGTGGACCAAAGCATTCGATGAGGTGACCATTCATACCGAGCAAGGAAAGCAAAGGTAAGAAAAGATCCTTTTCAGAGCATACAAGCAAACATCTAACATCGGGTAGGTTACAACGGGATGCGGAGTACTTCCAATCGAAGCTCAGCAAAATAGACGGCTTTGGAGACTTAGGAGAGCGTCTTCTGGAGCTGGTGAAACGAAAGACCCCAACCGCCGAGGCCAAGGAGAACGGCTCGAATGAAGTCAACACAAACAGCCCCTCCGATACAAGCAACGGCAAGAAGAGTCCCCAAGCATAAACCATGGTGATAGAGATGTGAGGTTTACGGATGTCTCGGCCTTGACGAACACATTGTATACATTCTTCTCGCTAGGGTGTACCTGAGATACCATCATGTTAAGGCCAAAGAATTGTACAGCGATTTAGCGGTGTTTACCCTTTCTAAATACTTGTTTATTTCCCCGGATAGCACAGCATCCGATTTATATCCTTTTATATAGACTTAATCAAGACATTCACTTACCAACTTCTTACAACCACCCAAAAGAAAAAGAAGAATAAGCTAGAGAAATCATCTTCACATATCATTAAATCTATAATGATAGATAGATAATAAACACAAGCCCCTGTACCGTAGCAGAAGCCCAAGACCGTATCATACAAACGGTTTATTCAACCCGCAATCCAACTCCCAGAGAAAAAGAAGCAAAAATGAAAATTCATAACCTCATTCAATCCTTATGAGCACCCAGGCCCTTATGCTCTCCCAAAGACTTCGGCTCATGACCTCCCTTTCCGCTCGAGTGGCCAGCACTGCCGCCAAAGCTCGTTGCGTTGCCGGAAAGCTCCCTAGCAGCCTCAGGGAACTCGGCGGTTCTAAACACGCGGCCCATTTGGGCGTTCTGCATATCAGAAACCATTAGCTTGAGATACTCACTTCTATCGGCGGATGAAAGAGGGATTGAACTAAATTGGAGATAAGAACGGGCACATACAGAGTCACCGGCGCCGTGGACCTTCGTCTGGCCTGCTTTGACAGCGTTGTCGCTGTGGGGGACGCCGTCGTCGTATTCTGCGCCGCGGGGCATTTTGGGTTCTTTTAATTTGTAGGGGGTTGGTGCTATTTGACGTTGTTAGGTTTGCGGGTTTTTGAAGTATAGATGGTGTAAAAGGACATACCTTTGAAAGGATTGGATAAGGATTGAGATAAGATGTGTATGGCGATATATGCACTTAGTTAGTTTTGTAATTGTTGATCTGAATGTTAACTTCAACAGTAGAATCTGAACTCCTTTATATGTCGTGCTTCGCATCTAGCCCTCTCTATGATAACATCGACAGCCCGCCAAGAACGGGCTTGGTGACAGCATTGTGAAGTCATTGTGGAGACGGGTATGACTTCATCTAGGTTGCGCGGCCTCGGCCGGTTGGGATGGGTTGGCAGGTAGGGTTGTTTGTGTATTTATGGATTTTAATGCGTTTATTTTATAGTTCTGGGATATTTGGGGGTGGTTGTTGGTGTCCAGGTACATACATACTTAGGTACTAGTCTTGGCTGTTTGTGATGGGGCAAACAGTGCAAACAGCACAAACTGATGTTGGTGAGGATGGTGTTGTATGTGAGGGGAGTTTGGTATGTTTGTTCGAGGGGGGTCGAGGGAGTTTGATTGTTAAGATTGATTTGTTGGTTTTTGTTGGGGCTTATCGTGGTGTTGTGATATATCTTTTCTCTTGTTGCGTACTGTGTTGCCTGTGTTGCTTCCGAGTGAATAGTCCGATTTGACTTGAGTAAACTGTTGATTTCATTGACTGGTTGATTTTATTTTTATTTGATGATAACTACTCTTCTTACTGATTTGAAGTATACTTACGGAGGTTGAGTATCATGTCTACTATGCGAGCAGCAGTCGCACATACGGCTGGACCTCCTGACGTCCTTAAAGTTATACAATATCCCATCCCCCAACCCGGTCCTGGACAAGTCCGGATCAAAGTCAAGGCATTCGGACTTAATCGCTCCGAGATGTTTACTCGACAGGGTCACTCTGGTTCTGCGGTTCAGTTTCCCCGCATTCTCGGCATTGAAGCCGTGGGTATAGTCGACGCCGCCCCAGGACTAGAAGATAGGTTTCTGCTCGGAGCTACCGTGGCCACAGCCATGGGCGGGATGGGCCGAGCCTTCGATGGGGGATATGCCGAGTACACATGTGTACCGGCAAAGCAGGTACAGATACTGAAGACGAAGCTGCCTTGGGACGTGCTGGGGGCGCTGCCAGAGATGCTGCAGACGGCTTGGGGTTCATTAATCAGGTCACTCACCTTGAGACCCAAAGATAGGTTGTTGATTCGTGGTGGAACGTCCTCGGTGGGCCTGGCGGCAGCGGCCATTGCTAAGAAACATGGCGCGTTTGTGGCGTCGACGACCAGGAGCAAGGAAAGGGAGGCGTTATTACGGGATTATGGAGTGGACGAGGTGTGGATTGATAACGGGGCCATTTCTCAACAGATTGCCGAAACATCGGGCCAATATTTCGACAAGGTGCTTGAGCTTGTGGGAACGGCCACATTGGCTGACTCTCTGCGTTGCGTGAAGAAGGGAGGCATTGTTTCTATGACAGGGATTTTGGGGAACGAGTGGCACTTGGAGAAAGTCAATCCTATGGAATTGATTCCAAGCGAGTCGAAATTGACGGCATATTCTGGAGGGGATGAAGACTTCATGAGAACGCCTCTGAAAGAACTGGTCAAGATGGTTGAGAAGGGGGAGCTCCAGATCCGGGTGGGACGCGTATTTAAAATGGAGGACATTGTGGAGGCTCATCAGTGTATGGAAGACAGTGAGGTGGGAGGGAAGATTGTCGTGATTCCATAGCCCCATTGCGCCCTCTGGATTTTACTGAGCAGCTTGTCCACATATCTAATGACCGTTGGCTTGATCTTAAAATGGACGAAGTAGTTGGCCCGAAACCGGCCAGAGCCAGGGGTGGTTGAAGAAACATTGTCTGATCTGAACAGGGCTGACCATGTCAAGGCGTCTAATGGCGTTCAGTAGGCGACTCCATTTATCGCCGATCGATAGCCATTGTGACACAACATCACGCCGTGTATCCCGGCATTCCGACAATCCTCGAACTCAGGCTGATTGTAAATTGACGATATGAAGGTAGCATTGCAGATGCTAAGCAATTATACACAGTTTGCGATATTTTCCTGAGATTGTTGAGGGGGTGAGGTCTGGAGCGGTCTCTGAGGTGCACGGTGGTTGGGTGGGGACCGAGTACTAAGTAGATTGTAGTAAGGTAAGTCGGGGGTATACGGGCTTCGGTGTGCCTAGAAGTCGAACCCGAGACTCGGGATGGGGGTCCGAGGAACTAATTAATCCCACCGTGACGGTGTCCAGAAAATGCCCGTTGCCACATTTTGGTTTCCCGACTGCAAATAAAGAAATTACCACCAGGGCATCCCGCATATGGTTGTAAAGAAGGAAGAACCTGGAAAAGAACCATGGATTCCACTTGAACCGACGGCCCAGTGCACATGACCCTCGACCAATCAGAGCGAGGCTACCTCTCATGCAGCAGCCGGTGAGCCATGACGTAATGCTTTACCTGGGGTTCCCCGGATTCGGAATGAAGAAGTGGGGGAATTCTTGCGAAGGGGAGAAAGAATTAAAGATAAGGAGATTCCTTGCTGGATCGACTAATATGTAGTACTAAGTCAAATTGTCTGGTAGATATGCTCGTCTGATTCCATGGTTGAGAGCTAGACTGTCTTGAGTGATGTATATCGTTACTATCCTTCTGATGATTGCAAACGGAGGTGGACACTGACAGACTCGAGTCAGTCAGTACAACATGTACCATAAAAATAGACGGGAGAGAGAGGTATTTTTTTTATTTAAAAAAAAGGGCATACTGCGGCACAAACAAAACCAGTTCTCAATTGCTGCACGAGATGGAATGACGAGCATCATCATCTGGTCGGATGATCTTGGGGTTGACCGGGGTTACCATTCGCTGACCCAGTCTCGCCCCGTTAGGAGCAAATACTATAATGAGCACGAGTCCGTGCCACGGCAGTAGCTCTGTTTAGACGGAACTGCCCTCTTTCCTTCTTTTTTCATTTCTCTCTGGTTTCATGAATTTGTTCTACTGAAAAAAGGCCTAGAAGGAAAAGAACAAGAAAAAAGACAAAAAAAATTCCCCTTTCTTCTCTACTCAAGGTGCCCTTTCCAAAGGGAAACAGGTTCCACTGGATCCGTTCCTAGCTTTTTAGTGTCTGCTACTACCTTGTTCTGTACCTTATTTATACTAACAGCTTAGGTACCTCACTAGCCTGGGCCCTGCCAACCTTCCGCTCAGTTCGAGCTTAGGCTTTCCCCGCCACCCCCATTCAGCTTTTTATCCCCCGCACGTACCTCCTCTGTGACCGGAGGGAGGATAAAGACCTGTGCGAGGAAGCTAGCCGGGCGAGCTTTAGCTTGGACGGCATCGGCTCTCGATCTCTTTCTTCTTTCTGTATCTTGCTTCCTTTGTTAAATCTCCGTCTTTTTTCATTTTTACTCAGGCTCGTTGTCCCTCGTTCCCTCTCAAGTGCCTATACCTTTACCTCGCCCGGATAGCGCTCGCAAGGAATCACAATGGCCAGCGAGGAAACTGGCGCGGAACCCCCCAAGCGGGATGTCCGCAACCATATGCTTTTCGAAATTGCGACGGAGGTGGCAAATAGAGTGGGTGGAATTTACTCCGTCCTCAAGTCCAAAGCTCCCGTAACGACCGCCGAATATGGCGAGCGATACACGCTGATCGGACCCTTGAACCGTGCCTCGGCAGCGGTGGAGGTGGAAGAATTGACGCCGTCCAATCCCCGTATGATCGAGACGATCAATTCGATGAAAGAGCGTGGCATCGACGTGATCTACGGTCGCTGGCTGATTGAAGGCGCTCCCCGAGTGCTTTTGATCGACACAGGAACGGGATATAAGTTCCTGGACGAGTGGAAAGGGGACCTATGGAACACGGCGGGGATCCCATCGCCGGCGGCGGATACCGAAACCAATGAAGCGATTGTCTTTGGATACCTGGTCGCATGGTTCCTGGGTGAAGTACGTTTGACAGACTATACGATTGATTGATGTGAAGTCCGCTAATGAAAGTAACTAGTTCATCGCTCATGAAAGACGGGTTGCGGTGGTCGCCCATTTCCACGAATGGCTTGCTGGGGTAGCCCTGCCGCTGACCAAGAAGCGACATATGGATCTCACCACAATCTTTACCACTCATGCAACCTTGCTCGGTCGCTATCTCTGTGCGGGATCGGTGGACTTTTATAACCACCTACAGCACTTCGATGTGGATGCAGAGGCTGGCAAGCGTGGCATCTATCACCGATACTGCATTGAGCGAGCCGCGGCGCACACGGCAGACGTCTTCACCACCGTCTCCCATATCACCGCGTTCGAAAGCGAACATCTCCTCAAAAGAAAGCCAGATGGAGTTCTACCGAATGGACTCAATGTCAAGAAATTCTCCGCAGTGCATGAATTCCAGAATCTACACTCGCAGTCGAAAGAGAAGATCAATGACTTCGTTCGGGGCCATTTCTATGGACAGAACGATTTCGACCTAGACAATACACTCTACCTTTTCACGGCGGGACGCTATGAATTCCGGAACAAGGGCGTTGATATGTTCATCGAAAGTTTGGCTCGCCTGAACCATCGTCTAAAAGCCAGCGGCTCCAAAACTACCATAGTTGCTTTCATCATTATGCCAGCCAAGACCACGTCTCTGACGGTCGAAGCTCTCAAGGGACAAGCTGTGGTCAAGTCCCTACGTGATACGATCGAGATGATTGAAAAAGGCATTGGAAAGCGAATGTATGAGCGTTGCCTGGCGTGGAGGGAAGGCGACAACATGCCCGACGAGAAGGACCTCATGGCCAGTCAAGATCGCGTGCTGCTGCGACGCAGGTTGTTTGCCATGAAGAGGCACTCCTTGCCCCCGATCGTCACTCACAACATGATTAATGACCATGAAGATCCAATTTTGAACCAGATACGTCGTGTCCAGCTGTTCAACGATCCAACCGACCGCGTTAAGGTAGTCTTTCACCCAGAGTTTCTCAACTCTTCGAACCCCGTGCTGCCGCTCGATTATGATGACTTTGTCCGCGGTACGCATCTTGGAGTCTTCCCGTCGTACTATGAGCCTTGGGGTTACACACCCGCTGAATGCACTGTGATGGGTGTCCCCAGCATCACCACCAACCTGTCCGGTTTCGGTTGTTATATGGAGGAGTTAATCGAAAACTCATCCGACTACGGTATTTATATAGTGGATCGCCGAATGAAGGGTGTTGACGATTCCGTCAATCAGCTTACTGATTTCATGTTCAACTTTGCTTTGAAGAGTCGTCGCCAACGGATCAATCAACGCAACCGCACTGAGCGGTTGAGCGATCTGTTGGACTGGAAACGTATGGGATTAGAGTATGTCAAAGCTCGGCAGCTGGCTCTCCGGAGAGGTACGTTTGCTCCAACCTCCATGTAGATTCCATATTGTTCACTAACGCATGGCTCACGATCTTCAGCCTACCCATCTTCATTTGGCAGCGGTGACGACTTCTATGATATTATTGGAGGAACAGAACAGAAGATCTCACGCCCGTTGTCTGTGCCTGGGTCACCAAAGGATCGCTCGGGGATGATGACCCCTGGCGATTTTGCGTCCCTGCAAGAAGTCAAAGAAGGACTGAGTACCGAGGACTATATTGCATGGCGGCTGCCGTAAGTTATCCTCTTGGCTACATTATAGACACATTTGGGCAAACGCGGTGCTAATTCGCTATCCAGTGGTACAACCGAAGATGATGAACCAGACGACCAATACTTCCCACTGACACTACGAACGAAAAAGACATCCGATCGGCCCGCGTCGCCGCTCGACCGGATATCAGTCAATGGTGGGAATTGATTGACAGGCGCATGCCTTCCTGGAGATTTACTGCCCAGCGTTCCGTTCAGAATACGATTTCGACCCCCTTTCATTGTGTGCTCCTGTGCCATAGCTTTCTACATTTGTCATTCTTACTTACTTCAAGTGCATGTTTATTGATATTCTTTGGAGAGAAACAGAGTGACCCTTCCGGGCCCAGGACTGTTAAGGCTCCCTGGATACAGCTTCACGTCTTCATACTTTGTTTGTACTGTTGCATCCATGTCGTTTTGTTCTTGTGTGAGCTTACCAGCATCGGGATTGTCTTTTTTACCAGCGTGGATAAATTCATTGCATGATGTGCGAGACGCCGTAAATTCTTTTTACGCAATTGGCTGACATCATATCGTAAGGGTTGTTGAGAGGCCAGTGAGGCGTTGATCGTAGTCCCACTACAACACGGGCCCCATCAGGATTGTCCGGACCACCGTGCTCCAGGAAGTAGTAGTAGCCCACTCCCGTTGAACCGGCCACGACAAGAGATCGCCGAGTGATCCAATGGGACCGGGTGACAGTTTTCGTCTGCTGCAGGATTCCGGTGAAGGTGGAAGCAGGGAATAGAGACGAGTACTATGGGTGACTAGTAAAGATCCAGTAGGTGGGGTTGGATTTCATGTGACTCAAAGCCTATTATTTATTGTATTCCTGGACCCCTCACTCGACTTCGCTTTCGCTTCTTACCACAATCCCCAATCTCAATTCCATCAACTCCTCTTTCACTATCGCTGCAACTCGCTCGGTACGGCTCACCATGAGGCCGCGCAGCCAGAATGACCTTCTGGGTCGTTTCGCTATGGTTTAATTAAACCACACGGGTCAAGGTATCGTACATAGTATAACAGTCATAGCTCCGCATGACAGGTGTTCGTCTTGGATCTGCCTTGGTTACCTGGTTATCCTTCTACTTCATGCTGTCCCTGCGTGTCTGCCTCTCTGTGAAGGATGTATCCCTCAAAGGAGACGTGAGACGAAGGGCGAAAGCTGAGTGGATGGGTACTGGCCGTACGAGGCAGAGTCCGGTCGTTCTGAGATTATACTGTCATAACTTGATCTAGATAATACTAGCGAAAGGACATGCGTGGCATTGATTGTTCCCCTTTATTCTGCTGTCACAGAAGAGGGACTCCGGTCCCCCAGTACTAACAAGTTTCAGAACTCTTGACCTATAACTGTGCCAAGATGTCTACTGACAAGATCACCTTCCTCACCAACTGGTATGACATGCCGCTGGTGCTGTTTCTCTCTGTGCCCTTACTGTTTCTTCTGCTACGTTCGTGAACTGTTACTAAGTGGTTGTGTGTTATAAGGCACGCGACCCCGTACCACGCCCCCTTGTACCTCGCCCAGAGCAAGGGCTACTTCAAGGAAGAAGGCCTGAAGGTTGCTCTGCTGGAGCCCAATGACCCCTCTGATGTCACTGAGATCATTGGTAGTGGCAAGGTGGACATGGGCTTCAAGGCCATGATCCACACGCTGGCTGTATGTATCACCTCTTAGGGTCTCTTGGACGGACATCTAACTTTCGAACCAGGCCAAGGCTCGTAACTTCCCTGTCACCTCGATTGGCTCTCTTCTTGATGAGCCTTTCACCGGTGTAGTGTACCTCAAGGATAGCGGAATCACCGAGGACTTCCGCTCCCTGAAGGGCAAGAAGATTGGGTACGTCGGAGAGTTCGGAAAGGTATGTATCACTGACGGTGTTGTTGGACGAGCTGAGATTAATGTATTCCAGATTCAAATCGACGAGCTCACCAAGTACTACGGCATGACTGCGGACGACTACACCGCCGTCCGTTGCGGCATGAACGTTACCAAGGCCATCATCCGTGGTGACATTGATGCCGGCATCGGTCTGGAGAATGTGCAGATGGTCGAACTGGCCGAGTGGCTGGCATCCCAGAACCGTCCCCGTGACGACGTTCAGATGCTGCGTATCGACCAGCTCGCCGAGCTTGGCTGCTGCTGCTTCTGCTCTATCCTCTACATTGCCAACGATGCCTTCCTGGCCGCCAATCCCGAGAAGGTTCACAAGTTCATGCGCGCTGTCAAGCGTGCAACCGACTACGTCCTCGCGGAGCCTGCAGCCGCTTTCGAAGAATACGTTGACATGAAGCCTATCATGGGCACCCCTGTCAACCGTAAGATCTTCGAGCGGTCTTTCGCTTACTTCAGCCGTGACCTGAAGAACGTCAGCCGTGACTGGGCTAAGGTTACCAACTACGGAAAGCGTCTGGGTATCCTTGACGCCGACTTCCAGCCTAACTACACCAACCAGTACCTCTCCTGGACCTTGGACGAGGATTCAACCGACCCTCTGGGTGATCAGAAGCGTATGGCGGAACTGCAGAAGCAGGTTGCTTGCGAGGGTGGCTTCAAGCGTCTGCAGGTGGCCTCTAGCGCCTAGGTAGCTGTGACCACGTCTCGAGGCCTGGTTGGTAGGCTTATGCGTTGTTAACATACGATCTTTTGCAATATGAATGGCTGATCAAGTCTAAAACTCTTTCTCTTGAATTCTACTTCGAAGCGCCCATGGCGTACCTGTAGAGCGTACGTAAGCTGTCTACGTAAGCCCACGTATCCATTGAACACACCAACCAGCAGGACAAACTACCCTCACCCCCAACCTGACTGTTAGCTGGTTGTGATGGTTTAATTGATGAGATAAACACGATAGCACAAAGTCCTCTCTGCGCTCGTGAGTCTCAAAGAAAGCTATCGCTCGGATAGTCGCCCGAAATCACCTTCCATGCCACCGTCCAATATATTCCGATTTGCTGTGAGAGGCGTCATCGCTATACAAGCTTCTAGCAGGCCTGCCTACGCAATGTCCACATACACCAATGTGAGGGCGTGTGGTCCAGGCAAACACGCTCCCAACTAGGCCAGAAGGTCAGATAATTCTGATTCTACTATTCAGAAGCCCTGGATCGCATCGATTATAGTCTATCGCCGTTACAACCAAAATGTAGCTAGATATTAGTGCCTGGCACGAAGATTCACTGATTCTATAGATCATATCGCCATCGAGACCGCCTATAGCTCTGAGCCGGAGAGGCCAATGGCTTCGCAGAGGTAGATTCTTTCATTTTATGTACAAAGGATTAGAAGTTCTATATATATAGGCACTGGAAATAAGTACCGATAAAGGAAAAGGCTCGTTTATACCCACCAACCTAAACATCACTTCCTTTCCCATGTATCGTCATCGTCTTCCCCAGGAAAACCCTCAGACCTCTCACCCCCCAATAGTGCAAACTCAACATCATCCATCTCTCCCTCACTCAAGCTCTCATCCCCGTTAAACCGATCCAGCGGCTGCCAGGTGCCCCGTTCTTTGTCCTCTGGGCTCTGCGCACCTGCCCTTAACTTAACGCGCCTGTATATAAACCAACTAGCAAAAGCAAGGACCATAGCCGATGCAAACCCCCCAAAGAAGAAAAGCAGTGAGCGGACAGGTGAATCCCCGGCACTCTCCTCATCATGCCGCCCCACAACTGCCTCAACGGACTCTGGATCCCAGCGGACCAATTTGGTGGTTCCCAGGATATGGCCCGTGGAGTTTAGGCCATGGGCACGGATATACGTTGATTCTGTGTCCGCGGGAATGGGAATGAGGGTTTCAAAGCCGGATTTGGGCACCGCAGCTAAGAATGTGTATGCCATGGGGTTGGGTGAGTCCGCACCTTCGAGAGCCCAGGTTACGACCTCGGTAGCGCCGTTCCAGCTCGCTGCGGCCGTGTAGTGGTAAACAGAGATGTCGGGGGATGTCGTTGGGTGGCCGGTCCAGGGGTGTTTGAGGACACGGTAGGACATGATGTTGCCGTCACCGGAGGCGGCGCCGAAATGCGTGTTGCAGAGGACGGTGCCATCGGAGGCGTACTCAGTCCATGTTGGGATGTGGCCGTAGCCTACGAGGACCTTTGTGCTTTCGTCGTTAGAGGCGAGGAGCTGGACGGAGCCTTGCGATTGACTGCTGATGGGGTCTGGGTTCCAGTACTCGTGGCGGACTTTGACGGTCATGTTCTCCTGATTGATGTCTAGGTAGAGGCCGCGGCTGGGTAGTTCGGGGGCACCTGCACCGCGGGAGGCATTGTCAAAGACGGTGATGGCCGTGCCGTTGTCGCGGAAGCGGGCGTGGTGCTGCCAGGCGAAGTTTGTGGCTGCGCCGTCTGAAAGGTCTGTGAAGTCGTTGTTCTTGCCGCCGAGGCGCCAGATGATGTCGCCTGTGCGACCGTCGATGTAGATGAGACAGCTGGCATAGCGGGATGAGATCAGGTAGTTGCCCTTGGCGTCTTTGTCTACACTGTTGATGTGGAAGAAGTCCCATGGGTGGACATCAGAGTCGCCGTTACCTTCGCGGTCCCGGTACATGTCGGTGAAGTTAAAGTGTTCGGATGCCCGCCATTGGAAGAGAGTTTTCCCGGTCTCGATGTCGAGTTCTTGGAACGTGCCATCCCAGATCCAGCCTTCTTCGAGACCACCGACTACTGTTAAGTCTGCGGGGATAACATCGTAAATGGTGATTAGTGCAGTATCGTCCTGCGTGATGTGGAACTCATGAAGGTCGCCTGGGAGATGGTTGGCCGCGTTGATTTTGTATACTTCTCGGTAGGAGGAGTCTAGCTTTTGGTGGGTTTAGAATATTATAACTTGAGATGCATGTGGGGATGGTTTTCATTGCGCCTCGCATAGGTAGGAAGGGAGATATATGCCCTACCATATAATATGCTCCCTCTCCATGTCCCCCAACACCATCATTGCCCATCCAGAAAGTTAGATAATCCTGTCCTTTAAACGTGTAGACATTCAGATTATACGACTGCCCATAGAGCTTCGTCCAGACAAGATGCCCATCCTGATCAAGGATCATCGGTCCTGGGTTTGCTACTTTATTTCCTCGGGGCGCGATGAATGTGTAAAGCCCATCCTTGCATTCATCGCTATATTGCAGATAATTCAATGCTGGGCCGATGATCGGCGACGATCGATACGTCTCAGTAGGCCATTCGCCAAATTTCCCTTCGTCATAAGCAGCAGACTGGAAATAGGGACCATAGTCCGCTTGTACGTGAGTAATCACAAGCGCTAGAAGAATCAACACCCCGTTTAACATGATCGTCATCAACGGGCGGAGGCCGACGAAGAAACGCCCGATGTATATGTATGGACAAACAACACTAACTATCAGAAGTCCGGGGGACGGACGCCGTTTAAATTTAAATTACGAGTGTCCATCACCAACGTATGGCGTAGAATAAAAGAAAGGATTCGTCAGCTGAATCGGCAGACAGATTTTCGTTCATATATGCGCTGAATAGTCGAGCTTTCCGGTGGAGCTGCAGCCCTAATACGCAGGCATTTCATCGTCGGCTTTGGCGCCGTGAGATCCACACTTAGCGCCCCATTTTTTCGTCATTGACGAACCACTGGTAATTGGGTTGCCAATCGCTGATGTTCTTAATATCTGGGACTCCACCTGTAAAGGGAGAGTTGAACGACATGAATGCGATGCGCAGCCCCTTATTGTTTTCGCTGGCTGATTCTCTGTGCACGCACGGGGTACTGTGTGAAGTGGAGGGACTCGGGGAGTGACGGTCTTGGCAGGAGAATTTTGGGGTGGAGAACAATAAACTCCCAACTGAGATTGTAGGATTTGGTCTCTGGGATGGATTCATCAATTGATACGATTGAAGTAGACGATGCGTCAGTACGCAGTGAGGTCCACTTGATCGCGGTGGCTTTCCAATTTAGCCAGGCTCGTTCGTTTTATGTCTGAGCTGGTGGTTGGCCGAGCTGGAGTTATGATCGTTAGTGGTTGCATCAGGTCCTTGGCGCCATGGATGTAGTAGAAAACATGACTTAGTGGTCAAAACTGAGAAGAGGTGAATTATCTTGGTGGTGGTTTGGGTGATGCTTTGAATGGGGTTGAATGCAATGAAAGAGATGAACAGGGCACGTGCTCTCAGGTATCTCTCCTGGGCGACACTTCTGACCTTCTCTTCCGCACTATCAAGCCATTTGATATGTTATAACTACAGGGCTGCCAAGACTATTGCCAATGTTGACTGGGTAGAGGTAGTACTAATATGGGACACTACATTCTTGGCTGCTCAGTTGAAAGGCTCGCATAAATGCCGTACCACAATCGTCACACCAAGGAGGCTCCCAAAATCAATATGTACTACCTTTGTCTCGTACCCATGAGTGTGTCACATCATTAATGTATATTCCTTAGATCAAATGCTGGCTAATCTATGGTGTGGCAGAAAGCGTGTAATTATAAGACATAGAAGGGGTATCGTTCTAATTCACCCAGAGCAAACCGATCAGCCGCGAGAGCCTTTATTTGGAGCGCTTGTAGATCTTGCCGAGGAAGGCATTGAAGACGTCCTTCTTCAGTCCCTCAGACTCATCCACGGCGGCAATCTTCTCCTTGAGCTCGCCGACGATCTTCTCTTCATACTCTTGGTAGACCTTCTCGAGATCCAGCTCCTTGTAGAGAGCCTTGACCTTGGCCTCGAGAGCGTCATCCTTACGTCCGTAGGCCTCGTCGAGGACCTTGCGCTGCTCAGCATTGCAGCGCTGGAGAGCCTGGTTGACGAGCCAAGAGCACTTGTTGTCCTTGATATCGGTACCGATCTTGCCAATGACATCGGGGTTTCCATAGGCATCGAGGTAGTCATCCTGAACCTGGAAGTACTGGCCCAGAGGGATGAGGATATCATGGGCCTGGCGGAGGTTGCTGGGGGTGGCGCGCTGCAGGTAGAGCAGAGCCAAGGCGACAGGCAGGTAGAAGCTGTAGTAGGCGGTCTTGTAGGTGACGATGAACATATACTTCTCCATGGAGAAGTTGTTGAGGTCGACCTTGTCCTCGGGGGCAGTGATCAGGTCACAGAGCTGACCCAGCTCAGTCTGCCAAGTTGTCTCGTGGAAGAGATCGATGAAGTCGGCGTAGGCGGGGTGCGAGCGGAAGTGCTTCTTGAGAATGATATAGATGGAAGATTCGAGCAGGAAGGCATCGTTAATGGCGATCAAACCGACGCCCTCGTGACGGTACCAACATGGCTGACCACGACGGGTGATCGAGCCGTCCATAATGTCGTCGCTGACCAGGAAGAAAGCCTGGAGAAGCTCGGTGAGCCATCCCAGAATGCTGAGGTGCTTGAACTGCTCCTCGGTCAGGGGCTTCTCCAGAAGAGCCAGGCCGGTGTCAGGACAAGAAAGACCACGGTTCAGCTTTCCACCGGGAACGTTGACATTGAGGGCCTGTTGTAAGTAGCATGAGTAGTCAATACATGTCCTCCGTAGCGGATTGCGCACATAAGCCGGGCGGATTGATTATACCTTCTCGAACCACTGCAGAGCATTTTGGGGCAGATTCGACTCCTTCGCATAGGCCAGGATATCTTCAGCCAAGGAGGGGAAGATCTCCTGGAAAGCGGCGCGGTCAGTGGCAGGCATTCCGGCGGGAAAAGGATTGGATCTGTAGGTTAATGGTGGAGAGAAGGTGAGAGGGGCAGGGGAAAAGTTGGGGTGGGAAATTGATACCTCAGGTCAATATACCCCAATCGGTAAAGCCCCTCTGCACTTTGTTTGCCCTGTTTGCCATCCCGGCCCATTCACCAATCAGGAGTTCAGCCCTCGCGGAACTGTACTTGGGTTCAACTGGATGCTTGTTGATGTTGATGCCTTTCTGATTCTTTTTCCTTGTATCCACCCGGTGACATTCGCGATCATTTAGCGCCTCCGCCGGCGACTGGAACTGTGGGGATAGATCTGTCAGCTGTCTCACTCAGAAATTACCAAGAAAGAACGGAACAGCCTTGTTTCGCGCGAGTGTCCCCCACCATACAAACAATCGCGCATGGACATGATTGGCACGAAAACTCATTATTGACTGACCACCATAACTACGAATCTCTGAAGAAACCGAGCCCACAATATTACTCGTCGCCATGGCGGCGCAATTCACCGAAGAAAACGTACAGGAGCTCAAGTTCCGGCTCGAGGACGCCACCGTAAAATGTTCCGAACGCTGTTTATACCAGTCTGCCAAATGGTACGACGCGCAGGCATTCCCCAGTCATTTTGAATTGAATTAGATGTTGATCGGATAGAATAGGGCGGCGGAAATGCTTGACGCCATTGTACCGATTGACCAATATGACACAGACCCCGAATCCCCAATGGACATTCCCGATACACCCTCGACTCGTCCAAATCCCTACCTGCGAACCCAAGATCCTGTCGAAGCTTCCCTTGAAGCCCAAGAGTCCTACAAGTACCTCCTAGCCAAGTCATATTTTGATACGCGCGAATACGATCGCTGCGCAGCGGTGTTTCTGCCGCCTACGATACCCCCCGTTGCACTTTCTACGTCGTCGCCGAACCAAAAGAAGAGACAGTCGTTAACCCCACAGAAGGGCAAGTCGAAGTCATCCCAGTATGCAGGAGGGAAAGATAGCAACGTGTCTAGGAACCCATATCCCAGATTGAGTCAGAAGTCATTATTCCTGGCGCTGTACGCCAAATACCTAGCGGGCGAGAAACGGAAAGACGAGGAGACCGAGATGGTGCTGGGACCGGCCGACGGGGGTGCGACAGTTAATCGAGAATTGCCAGATCTTGCGCGAGGGCTAGAAGGATGGCTAACAGAGCGTCGGGAGAAGGGCATGGAAGATCGCAATCAGGGATGGCTAGAATACCTCTACGGGGTCATTCTTCTCAAAGGGCGAAACGAGGAGGAGGCCAAAAAGTGGCTCATAAGGAGTGTTCACTTGAACCCATTCCATTGGGGCGCCTGGCAGGAGTTGAATGATCTTCTCTCAAGTACAGAAGATGTATGTGGCTGTTCCTTAATGCGCATCTATGCTGGTCGGATGCTAACTATTGATCAGTTGAAACAAGTCGTCGACCTGCTCCCGCAGAACATTATGACCCTGCTTTTCCACGTATACTGTAGTCAAGAACTATATCAGGCCACTGAAGACACGTATCAGGCTCTCTCGGAGCTTGAAACGATCTTTCCCAACAGCGCCTTTCTCATGACCCAGAGAGCTCTCCTCTACTACCATTCGAAAGGTATACAGCATCTTATACTCTTGGTGCAGGCACAATGCTAACAGTCTTGTAGACTTCGAAGAAGCATCACGTATTTTTACCGAGATATTGATTGCATCCCCTCACCGACTCGACAGCCTCGATCATTACTCCAATATACTATACGTGATGGGCGCGCGTCCCCAGCTGGCCTTCGTCGCCCAAGTTGCAACAGCAACAGACAAGTTCCGGCCCGAAACCTGTTGCGTCGTCGGAAATTACTACTCACTCAAGTCCGAACACGAAAAAGCCGTGATGTACTTCCGTCGCGCCTTAACACTAGACCGCAATTTCCTCTCAGCCTGGACCCTGATGGGCCACGAGTACATCGAGATGAAGAACACACACGCGGCGATTGAATCCTACCGCCGCGCCGTGGACGTCAACCGGAAAGACTACCGAGCCTGGTACGGTCTCGGCCAGGCATACGAAGTCCTCGACATGTCTTTCTACGCTTTATTCTACTACCAACGTGCCGCCGCACTGCGACCGTACGACCCGAAAATGTGGCAAGCCGTCGGATCCTGCTACGCCAAAATGGGTCGTGTTCCGCAGAGTATCAAAGCCCTCAAACGCGCCCTCGTAGCCGGCTCCTACTACGCCGAAGACCCATCCCAAATGGGAGGCTCAGGTCGCAAGATCCTCGATCCAGAAACCCTCCACCAAATCGCAACGCTGTACGAACGTCTCGGCGACGATGAAGAAGCGGCCGCCTACATGGAACTTACCCTGCAGCAAGAATCAGGACAAATGCCCGTGGAAGAAGACGCCTCTTCCGACAACGAAAACGACGACGACCAATCCGAGGCCGGAGCAAAACAATCCTCACGCCGTGCCCATCAATCCTCATCGTATAACCAAAACAACGACGATGATGACTCTTGGCACGGCACAGGGCCGACAGTCACGACTTCGAAAGCACGGTTGTGGCTCGCGCGGTGGGCCTTGCGAAACGGGGATCTCGAACGCGCGGATCAGTTGGCGGGTGAACTGTGCCAGGATGGAGTTGAGGTCGAGGAGGCGAAGGCGTTGATGAGAGATGTGAGGGCTAGAAGAGAAGGCGATGAGTAGTCTGCTTTACTTGAGCTGTCCACTCTGTATTGTTATGTTTTGCCTTGAACAGGCTTTCATTCTTACGGTAGCGAGGCGTTTGTGCTGGGAGTGCTTACGACCTGATGTTTTCATCTTGAGGCTGGGCTGGGTGTTTTTATGACGGTTATATAGAGATGTACTATGGGTTATTTATTGAAAATATGAGTACAGCTTATAGAAGCAACCAATTGATATCCTTGTCAATCCTCTTTCGAAGGATATTACAAATTACGTATTATAACAATTATCATAAAGAGGCTTGCCAGTCATCAAGCAAACCTGGTGGTTCACTACCATTACCCATTTCTCAAAGCCGCAGCCGACTCCAAAACACCCATAACTCTCCTATCAAACTCAACAGAAACCCTGACCCTCTGATCCAGATATCCCTTAGGACCCCCATCCAGAAGCGTACAAGGAACCGTCTCAACTCCACCCTTGAAACCCCACGAAACACAAGCATAAAAATACTTCCTCCCGATATCCTCCCATGACATCCGCACACAGGATCTGGGATCTGCCACGTCTGCGCCCAAGTCTAGGAGAGACAAATCGAGGAGAAGTATTCTCCCGGTTTGCAAATGGTTGTTGGAATGGGAGGGCGTTTGAAGCCTCTTGGAGAGATTGGTGGTTAGATCGAGGAGGGCTCGGCCTAGGGGTGTTTCCCTTGGGTTTAGGAGGAGGACGGCTAGGGTTGGGGTGATTTGTAGCTGTGCTTTGAGCGATCTTGATAGGAGGGATTTGACGAAGATATTGATATTCGGGTTGAGGGTTAGGGAGAGGGTGCTGGTGGGTTTTTCTTGGATGGATGCGTTGCTGTGGATGAGGTGGATTGGGAGGGCTGTTAATGAAAATTTGGTGGTGTTTTGAGGGTTTGACTGCTTTGCCATGGATTCGGGGTCTTGTATAGAGGTATTCGTCAGTGTAGATGGTATGTTTGAGTGGAGTTTGATGTTGCTGTTCTCGGGCTCGTCGGGTGCCTTGCTTTGCTTGGACCTCGTAGGGTTGGTGGTAGCGGACTTGTCCTTTTGTTGGCGGGAGTCTTGGTGCGATGAGAGATTCTCGTTGCTTGTCAGGACATTGCCATGGGTATTTGAAATTTCAGATGAGGGCGTTGATGGCATGGTCTCGTCGATATAGATAGGGATAGTATGTGTGGTTCCTGGGGCTCGTTCGTTGCCTCTTTCCACGGAGTTGTTTGAATTTTGTAGACATGCCTCATCTACTAGTGTGCTTGCAGATCGGTTTAATAGACGCCCTTCCACTGGACTCTGGGTCACTCCAGAAGAGTTGGTCAAGCTCTGGGATCGATTAACTATATACTCCGACGAGCCGTTACCCAGCTTCAGTCTTTTATTCCATTCGGTCTCTTCTTGCGCCAGCTCTTCTGACGGGACTTCTCGGGCATCTTCAGCGAGGAGCTGTAACTCTGAAAACGATGCTGCATCCTCAAATGATCTATCCCAATGGATCTTTACGATCCTCGGGAAGCGAAGCGTATAATATCTGGCGCTTGATGGTTTCTCGAACCCACTACCGAGCATCTCGACAACAAAAGGAGTCCTGAAAACGACGTCTATGCCTGGTATAGTACCCGTTCCATACTCTATATCGAACCCATGTCCTGAATCAATGCCACAGGCAGTATACTCCCCAAACTGATTGAGGATCTGCATGTTCTTCGCGCTCATGCAATGTCGATTGATTACATCAACCACGCGAAACATGGGCTTGGACTGCAAAATATCCTCTTTATTGAGGAGACAGCCGATGAAGAAATGTGTCCATGATAACTTGCGGATATGCTTTAAACCAGCGGCATCTCGAGAATCATATTTTCCGCCGACAATGGCAAGATCTACCGTATCGCCTAGACCTGGGATGTAGTCTTTCTTCAGCTTAATCCAGCGACCCAAGGAACCATTTGCTTGGCTGGGAAAGATGGTGAGGTATGGGTCCTCGCACCCCTTTAAGACAAACCCTTCCCATCTCTCAGCGATGCCCTTGGCGAAGATATTTTCTAGCTGCGACTGACTCCCAGGTCGACAGAAGTCTAGGATTCGTTGCTGGGAGATGTCTGCAAAGCCTTCGATTACGTGTACTACGTTTTTCAATAGCAATCGTCGCTCTCGTTGTGGTTTCTTCAAGCAAACCTCATCGTCAAGGAGTAAAATATCGAAAAACACGATCATCAAATGCTCATAAGGTTGTGGCCTAACTCGAGTCAGATTACGTTGCTTCAAGAAACTTTGAATTTAATTCACTCACGGGGAATCATTCTCCGTCCCGATAAAAGTGCCAGAGCGGGTGATAAACTTGCGCAGCTTATGGAAATCCATAATTTTGCCATGTCGATCGCTCCAGACAAGTAGCTCACCTTCCAGAATACACCGGTGAGAGAATTTGCATCCTGACCTTCCTATTCTCAGGGAATCTCTGATAACATGGTGGATACCTGACCTATCTGCAGTAGAATCCTTACCACTTTTCGAGAATATCTGAATAGGACTAGAAGGCTTCGAGAGATCAATGTGTATTTGACAATATTCGCCATCGTATTTCCTTTCTATACTCACCCGACGCCGGCCAATCATCTGACAGCAGTGCTTGATACTCCGAGCCTTGTAGTAGTCAGGTCGTCCGATCTTCACACCAACCACCGGACTCAAATGCTGCATCGCTATGATCCCCAAGTCCTTAGCTAGCCCAGGCTCTGGATGTGGTGGAAAATGACGGATTGGCTCCAACGCCAACATATTCAGCGTCGCCTCAAAAGAGTCTTGAAAAAGCAGAAGATGGGGGATCAAGAAATGAAAGCTCCTGAGGGTCAAATTCCGCGGTAGAGTCACAGGAGAGTAATTCTTGAGTATCATGCGAGTCAGCCATTTAGCATCTCTACTACTCAACCGTCGGTATAGAGGAGACAGGGCCTCATCTACATCAACCGCCGCCCGTTGTCTCCGCACACGGGGGCCGGAGAATCTGCACCGAGACGCAACACTGTTCAAGGCATCGTTAATCTCTTCGACCGTTACCTCCTGACCTTCGGGGGTGTGGTTTTCGGCCTGTCGCATGACGTTCTCCACGCATTGCGCCAGATCTATGCCCCCGGAAACGCGCCATCGCTCCAGCTCTTCCCGCCGCGATGACCCGAGAAGAAGACATCGACCTATGACCCTTGCGAGGGACGTGTCCTGTAACCAGTAAACTCTGTCTGTCCGTTTTTCTGGAAACATGCACGAGAGGACAGCCAACTGGTCGGTGTCCTTATCGTGGAGCCGTCTGCCATGTTGCTTGAACCACCGAGTTACCGTCTGAACATCTGGGTCATGGTTCCTTGCTTCGGTAGTAGCTTTTAGGATATTATTATTCTCCAGAGAGGAAAGTAGGTCACACAAATGGGAAAATTTGAATCCCATCTATGTATGCCTCTGCAGGCGGACGCTTTCAAGCCAGACAAACTTTGGGCATTAATACTGCAGAATGGACAGCCCACTCAAGACAACGGTGTCATTACTACCAAAGGCAGTGTACATGTAGCACGATAGCACTGGAAACAGGGCGCAACTTGAGCGACAGACTTGACGCGAAATCTCAGGAAACCACACGGGACCGCGTCCATGGATCGCGAAAGCACGTGATAGGTACTAGGTTGTTACAACATCATGACTGAAAACAACGAAGAATTAAGAGATAGTCTTATCTTGTTGATGATAGCAAAGTCTTATGTAGAATACATGAGGCGCGTAAGGCCATGCACTGATAAAGCCATTGTTCCCAGCCAGACAACCCAATGGTATGAGACCCTACGGAAATGAAGAAAACAACCGTCAAACTCCAGGCTTTTAAACGTAAGATATGTGGATATAGGAGAATATACGTAATGCGCAGGGGGGGGGCCACGGCTACAGGATGCCTTGCTTTTGCAGACTGGTAGACGTTAGCACAATTCTGGCCACATGGTAAAAGGGGGAAAACATACTCCAAGTAGATCCTTTCTGGCATCACATTGCCCTCTGCGTCCTCCATCTGCACCACGTTGTCGCGGCTGTCCTTATCCTTCTTGCGGTCATGCTCGAGCTTTTCCCACAATCGAAGGGCGTCGTCGATCCTGGTAATTTCGCGGAAAAGGTTCGTATTCGAGGTGATACCCAAACACTTCAGGCCCCAAATATGCAACCCTTCTGAGAAGTGCTTGTCGAAAGCGCGACGACCCATGTACACGAAGTTACCGCAAATCTCACAAGGGTACTCAACACCCAAGCCGTGCAGCTTGTACAGCCAGTAAGGAATGGGCTTTCCATCCCAAGCAAGCGGTAGCTTAAGCGGGTTGTAGATTCGGTCATCTCCATCATCGTCGGATTGATCGCCTGCGCGATCGCCGCCAGCATTTTCGGATTCTGCAAGCAGCGCCTCGAGTTCCATCTGACGCTCTCTCTCAGTCATACCCTGTTTCCGCTCAACGTTGATCCGCGTGGCTTGACGCTCAGCGTCCAACACCTGCGCCAGCGACCGAACACGATGCTCACGCTCTGCCACAGCGCGTTCCTTCAGGCGAGAAGCAACGGCCGAAACACCATTTGCTGTTGCTGGCTTCTCGCCAGAGTCACCGGAGGCCTTTTTAGCCTCAGCGGCGCGAATGTGTTTCTTGCCTGTCAAGTGATTCTTGTACACATTCTCGTTCTTAAACTCCTTCTCACAAGCAGCGCACCAAATACCCTCTCCAGATCCTTCAGTTTGTGGACCCTGAGGACCATTCTGAGCGGCCTCATCCGACCATCCAGGAACCTCATTAGCCGCCCATTGTTTCTCAAACTCCTCATCGAAGCTACCAAAGAGCTTATCTGAGTCCTGCAAGGGCCTAATCTTCTTGATAAATCCCTCCAAATATGACGCAAGGTCCCCAACATACTGGAAGTACTTATCGGACAGCTTATTGGGCCGTTTGATAAGCATCTGCGGGGGCGTGAAAGCGTCAAACACCTCGAGGTACTGAACGTACGTTAACCTCTTGACGCCAGGCAGGTTCAGGTAATCTTCGTGCGCTTTCGTAAGGTCCAAGAACTGTCCGAAGCTTTCTTCACCCGTAAAGAAGTTATCGATGTCCATTCCAATCGGCTCGCCCTCATGGCGCTTGTATGCTCGCTCCAGATTCTCCACGGGCTCATTGGGATAGCGCTTGTGAAAATCTTTGATCTCGTCTAGTTGCTTGTAGAACTCCTCGAATTGGTCGCCGGTCGAGATGGCCTGGATTTCCCTCTCGCGTGCGCCGTCCGCGTCTTTGTAGATATCTAGTAGTCTCTTCGACTGCTCGTCTATACGGTCCAGGAACTGAGCGACTTCATGGTCGCGGGCTAAGCGATCTTTAATCTGTAAACACGGGTCATTAGCTTAAGATATAACATGTGGAAACGGAGAGCAAATGTACGTTACGAGGCTCATCGGCAACGCGATCCGCAATCGCCTGCTCTAGCCTCTCGAGATCCTCGTGGATGAATCTCTGGTCTTCGAGAAGCATGGTGATTATACAGTCTCAACAACGACTGTTCCCGGGCAAAAGATGTGATTCTCCAAGTTTCGTAATGATATCGGCAACTCGTCGCTGTCCATGAGAAGCTTTGCGGCGAGTATCTGTCACGTGAGGCGGGCGGTGGCGCTCTAGGAAAAGTCGCGGTAGAAGCTGGATCGAGACCTCACATTGACTTGAGGGGCCACCACTATCACGCGAATTGATATTATTTTTTCTCGATCTATAGTGGAACCAGTGAATTCAAAATGGCGGACGGCATTGACAGACGGGCAGATGGTATGGATCCCAGCTACACCCCACGGAATACATGTATACTGACCAAGGCGCAAACTCAGACCGGATGGAGTTCAACACCTCCAAGGAGGTAACGGTTGCTCCGACCTTCGAGGACATGCACTTGAAGGAGAGCCTCCTGCGCGGTATCTACGCGTACGGTTACGAGTCTCCGTCGGCGGTGCAATCGCGAGCATCGTGCAGATCTGTAAAGGTCGCGACACGATCGCCCAGGCGCAGTCCGGTACGGGTAAAACGGCCACCTTCTCCATCAGTATCCTGCAGGTCATCGACACCGTTGTGCGCGAGAGCCAAGCGCTCGTGCTCTCCCCGACTCGCGAACTTGCCACGCAGATCCAGTCCGTCATCATGGCGCTCGGCGACTACATGAACGTGCAATGCCACGCTTGCATCGGAGGCACGAATATCGGCGAGGACATCCGGAAGCTGGACTACGGACAGCACGTCGTCTCTGGCACGCCGGGCGTGTGGCCGATATGATCCGTCGGCGCCATCTGCGCACCCGTCACATCAAGATGCTGGTGCTGGACGAAGCCGACGAGCTGCTCAACCGCGGTTTCCGTGAACAGATCTACGACGTCTACCGCTACCTGCCCCCGGCCACGCAGGTAGTGGTAGTCTCCGCGACCCTCCCCTACGACGTTCTGGACATGACGACGAAGTTCATGACCGACCCCGTGCGCGTGCTGGTCAAGCGTGACGAGTTGACCCTGGAAGGCATCAAGCAGTACTTCATTGCCGTGGAGAAGGAAGAATGGAAATTCGACACCCTCTGCGATCTCTACGATACGCTCACCATCACCCAGGCCGTGATCTTCTGCAACACGCGCCGCAAGGTCGACTGGCTGACCGACAAGATGCGCGAGGCCAACTTCACCGTGTCGAGCATGCACGGCGAAATGCCCCAGAAGGAACGTGACAGTATCATGCAGGACTTCCGCCAGGGTAACTCGCGAGTGCTGATCTCGACCGACGTCTGGGCCCGTGGTATCGATGTCCAACAGGTCTCCCTAGTCATCAACTACGATCTCCCCACCAACCGTGAAAACTACATCCACCGTATCGGTCGAAGCGGTCGTTTCGGAAGGAAGGGTGTCGCCATCAACTTCGTTACCAGCGATGACGTGCGGATCCTCCGTGATATCGAATTGTACTACTCCACACAGATCGATGAGATGCCTATGAACGGTAAGCCTCCTTAATCAAGGTACTGCCCAAATCAATATCTAACAAAAAGAACCTTGCAGTTGCCGATCTCCTTTCATAAACCTCATAACCACTCTCATCTATACCACCAATCAAATCCACTCTCAACCCACGGGCCGTAATCTGCAAAGAAAAAGAGAAAAGAGAGAAAGGAAAAGACCAACACCAGCGTGGAGGAAAAGGGAACATACCCAAATTGGTGAGCCTCAAGAACCACCTCGTATTGCATCCATGGATAATGCTCATTACTGCATTCTAGATGCACTTCAAATACACCAAAATATATGGTCGGGAGAGAATCCAGCCGACAACGTCTCTTCCCTTCCCCGTTACGTCTGTTTTCATTTTGAAAAAGGAGTTCTAGCTATGCGGGATATTTATCATTCATGATTATTGAATTTGGGGATCTGCTGCTACCATTTAGGTGATTCTATTATTTTCAAAATACTCAATTGATCATTTTGTTCTTCTGATATTAGTTTCTTTGAGAGCATGGCCCTGTAGACTACCTGGGTCTCTGGAGTGAATTGCGATGTCTCGGCGTTCCGCGAGACAAAAGAGGCTGTGAAAAATAAAAACATGTCATCAAGCAGACCAAGCTGACTTTATTTATATATATAAACTTAGCACCTATGATGCAGACTCTACCAATGGAGAGTGGAATCAAAGTAACATGGGTGTGTGCTGAAACCAACAAATTGTGGAGGCAGGTGAGGTAGATAAAGAGAAGAAATGAAGAACAACCAAACAAATCCCACGCACACCAGCCCAATCCCGCATGTTGTCCGAACCTTCCAGATCACCCAAACCAGAAGGAAAAAGCGAACCATGAGAAGCACCGTGTAACCTGTGTATGTGATGAGAAATAAAAATGGAAACCATATGTGATGTGCCGTCCCTGACGCATCAATGCAAGGCAGGGGCAATTAATTATTGCTCAATAAGCGCAAAATGGAAAGCACGTATCAGTCAGTAATGCCAAAATGGGAGCGCCAGCTACCTTTATCGAACGGACCACCAAGGACCAGGAAATGTGTATATGCAGAAAGGTTCGGGAAAGATTGAAAGGGCAGGAACTAAAGGCATAACAAAGAAAAGCCTGTCTTTCGAGTCCAAAAGCTCCCAGTACATCCCGTGATATGCACAAATAATCAATCTTCAGATTTGGTAAGAACAGGCTTCGTCAGCAGGAGTTCGTTAGAAGCTCGATGTTGATCGCAGAGCGCTCGTGCGAGCGAAACCGTTTGCTGATGTCGCTCGGTGCGTACGGGCCGTAGCATGAGGATTCGCGTCGCGCTCTCGGGTCCAACTAAAACTTATTAGCTTCGAGGCTGAAAAGTCGAAGAGTGATTGAGGCTTACATTCTAACCAAGCAATCATCTCCTGCGGAAGCGAACAATCCTGGATTTGTAGGGTTCCAGGAGATTGCGTTTACACACCCAGCAATATGGCCTTCCAGAGTTTCTACCAGAGTCCCATTGTCTTTGTGCCACACATAAACGCGAGAGTCTTTGAAACGGTAAGCGAAGAATCACGGGTAAGGGTTGATTGACTCAGCACGACTTACCTTCGCTTCCACTGACGACGAAATTCTCTGCAGCTCCTCCGAAGGCACTCCGGATGACAAAAGAGCCCTGTTTCTGTCCTTGGAAACGCCGGATTACATCGGTCGTTTCGATATCGATGAGTTGTATTTGGCCTTCTGACAAGTTCACAAGCATATGGCGGGAATCTTTACTGACTGCAACCGATGTGGGCTTGCTTTTCAGCGCCAGACAATACTCCTCTTCGTGGGTGAGGAAGTTATAGACATGAATCTTCTCTTCAACATCGGCAGCAATTAGGCGTCGCCCATCGGGCGTGATGGCGCAATCCTGTACACGGAAATCACCCTGCCACATGTGCAGAGCTTGACCGCGCATACTCCAATGGCATAGGTGCGAGGCCTTGTCAAGAGAGGCTGTCACAAAAGAGTCTCCGTCTGCAGCCCAGGCAGCAGCTGTAACCGGCTGCGAGTGGTGGGTAATAGTTAATAGGCATCGCCCAGTCTATAATCGTTAGTGCGAATAGCTCCAGATTGTAACGAGAGAAACTTACATCCACACTCCACACACGGGCCTTTTTATCCTGAGAGCAAGTGATGAGTTTCGAGTCATCCGGGCTCCAACAAGCATGCGCAACACCATCATCATGTTCCACCAACTTATGCAGCACAGCAAAAGTGCTGGTATCATAGATAATGACACTGTGGTCACGGCCTGCCGTGACTAATTTCGTGCCATCGTGAGAGAATTGACAGTACCAGACCTCATCCGAATGTTGATTTAATTCAATTCCCGGTCGAGACGGGAAGTCCGCCCGATCGCACATGTGATCCGAATATAACGACGGAGGAGTTGCCGTGTTGTGGTATAAGCACTGGTTGATCTGATTTTGCTTGACATGGTCCAGTAATATTGCGAGCCGGTTGTCAGGAATCATGACTGACGGCGATATAGATTCTATGTCTACTGTTAGCCCCGGCCATAGGATTATTGGAGTCATGGATTTCTAGATACAACGTACTGGATATTTCCGCTAGCAATCTCTCACGCGAGGAATTTATCGAACCATCCCAGCCGGCTTGGTCGTGAAGATGTTCCGGAGGGCACATGAGAAGGCTGTCGCTGGTGTTAGTCTGAAGGCTTCGAAAATTTCGGGTTGGCGGGCTTAGACACACTCACCTAGATAAGGCATGTAGACGCCCGATATCATAATTAAGCGGCGTTAACTCATGCCGAAGAACGGTCAGAGCCGCAGAGAGATTACGAGCCTCGAGCAGTTCCAAAAACTTCTGTTGTCGCAGGTAGAAGAGCATCTCATTCATTTCCGCATGTTCCACCAAAACCAACCTCTCCTTCGTCGGCAGGTGGTCACCGTCGCCGCTCGTCACCCGCCTCGTCCCGTCCGGATAGAACGACTGTACCAAAATTCGCTCCGCCTCCGCCCAACGTCCTGCAAGCACTGCACCTCTAAATGTAGCAACTGCGGGGCTCTCCAATTGATAACCACTCTCCTTGCTCAACAGTGAAGCTGCGCCATTATAACCAAGCTCGTACAAACTTTGAATGAGGATGCGGGTCACTTCTTCGCGGTCATGTCCGAAATAGGATGGAGGGCTGACCGAGGACTTCTGTACTCCATTCGTATGAAGGTCGCCGTTAGAGGAAACGTACGACGCCTGGCCGTTCAAGGAGTGGGAAAGACCCACCTTGTGAGAGGGCGAGGCAACGGAGCCGTTAGACACGTGGGAAGGGCCATTTGCACTTGAAACTCCATCGGGACGCATATTTGTCAGGCGCCTGCGCTTGGGGGACGGCGAGTGGCCCTCTGCGGTATTTGTGCGTACGATTCTTTGTTCCGAGATACCGGCTTCACTTGCCGTATGATCTCCGGTAGGGCCTCCTGTTCCCTCGATGTTGGCTTCAGATACACCAGGGGTACTCGGGCGGCGGCGGCGGCGAGTGGATGACAGATAGAAATTCCCAGTAGCACTGACAGTCGGGTAGGAGCTGTCGATGGAGGGATCTGAGCGGGATGACGACAGGATGCTATCGGAAGCGGCAGCGCTTCTCGGGTACGACGACGTAGGTTCAATGGGGATAGGAGAGTCAGGGCGGTCGGGAGCGGCGGAGGAGGGTATATAGGCGAAGGGATGGTCTGCCAGATCGAATGCTTGGTAGATCTGCCCTTTCACCTGGCTCTGTAGAAGAACCAGGGGAGCAGACCTATATCAGTGGCGGGTCACTGATACTGCCTCAGGTCAGACCTAGGGTTGGAGCTCGTCACAGGCCGAACGACCGTCAATTCTCGAATTTTGTGAATTCACCGAGGACGTATCGGCAGATAGAAGGTCGATCTTGCTTTGTTATAGCTTCTGGTGGTGGGTAGATGGTAAGAATTTCGCAGTATCGACGGGCGGAGGTCTTATCGGGCTTGGGGAGTGAGGTAAGAACCGGGGCGGACGGCGCCAAGTCGTGGGAGAAGTCGTGGGGTTTCGATCGTCACGGAGGAAATGTCTAAAGATACTTGAGAAGTATCAAAGCACGAAACCGTCAGACAGGTGGGGGAGGGGGGAGAGTAAAGGGTTTGAGATGTAGTGGATAAAGCGACAGAAGTTGGAGAGTAGAAGTTGAAGAACATCGGCGGCTTCTCTTATTCTAAACTCCGTGGGGCGAGGAAGTCACGACATCCATTGCTTTTGCATTTTAAATAATTAAAATTCCAATCAAATAGATTAGGTACCGTTTGATGCATTTGTCCACCACACCTCTTATTTATCTATTGTCCACCGTGTAATCTACGTCTTTTCCCGCCCCCCCGTTATTTTCCAGTCCATAGTACATCCACTAGACCAGGATCCAGCAGATGACCCTATTTAGTACTGGTGAATTACTACAGATGTACCTAGGTTGTAAATATACCATGACGGTTTCCGGGACGGTTCAGTATACCTGGAAAGTTCTATTATATAGATAGAAAGCCTCACACCAGCTCCCTTTCTAGTTGAAAATATTCCTAGAGACTTTAGTAGTCCTTTTAGAGCGCAAAGTCAGCGTTTCCAACACCTCCAAGGACCTAGTACCGGGAAGCTAAATGCGCGAATTAATCGGATTCTATCCAGATAAGGAGACCATCATCTGAACAACAACAACAACTGGTCATGAATCCAGCTGACAAGACTCCCCTATTTCCAAACAAAAAAAAGGGTCAGAACAAGAAAAAGAAAAACAAGGTAGCTCAATCAATCATCCAAGACTAAACCAGCCTAAAGAGTAGACCGATGTGGAAGCAAGGATGCCAAAGCCTCGATCGCAGGCTAATGAACGGGTAATCAAGGGGACCTTCGAAACGGGCCAACGATCAACGACATACCAACGCATCACCTGCACCAGACCCTCTCGGGGAAGTTTGACGCCAGACATGAAAAGGTAAAATGGAAAAAAGAAAATCCTATCAAATGAGTGGTTTCATTCGCCTTCATGTGCTCGTCCTACCTGAGTACCTATCATTGCTGAGCTTTTCAGGTGATTGATTCTTTTGCAGGCATGATCCACTTGAAGTATGCAGACTATAGATGTGCCA